TTTCTCGATCATCCTACGAATCGTTTGAGGGTTCGCAGGTTTTGGCGGCCGTGTTTCATAAGTGTTTGAAACGTTGTACGGGTTATAGTACTGGTTTCTTCTCCTGGAATTTGGATCATTTCGATGGTTAGTGGCGCCAAAAAAAGTTTTGAGAATATCGTCCAAACCAGCGTTGGCCTCGTCTTCAGCGCCAAAGTTGAAAAAAAACGTGCTATGGGACGGTCCTGCGCTTCCGCGAGCAAACTGTGGACCGCCGAAGTTGAAAAACTGAAAGCCTGGGTTTTGGTACTGCGGTCTAGCAGGGGTTTGGCCACTTTGGGCAAATTTGACCCCTTCTTCGCCTCCGTTGTCGTACGCTTCCCGCAGTTTCGGGTCCGACAACACTTCGTAAGCCCAGTTTATATCTTTGAATTTGTCGTCTCCACTTTTGTACTTGTCAGGATGATACTTTTTTGAGAGTTCTCTGAATTTTTGCTTTATTTCTTTTTCTGAACTTTTCGGATTTACGTCCAATATTTTGTATGGGTTGCGAACGAACGCGGAAACTAAGCAGAAAGCGTAAAAAAGCAGTTTAAACATAATGTAAGTTTAATTTAACAGTCTAATTCGGGTTTCACTTAACTCAGTTGCGTTCAATGGTAGCTCAGCTGGTACTTTGTGGAAAATCCTTTCTGGTAAATTATCTAGGGAATAAAAAGATATTTTTTTTAAATCTAAGATCATATTTAAACAAATTATTATTGTTCGAACACGACTCTAGATGCAGTTTGTCATATTTAAATGATAAGTTGATGCAAAAAATTCAGTTTTCTGAGCACGTCATCGGTGTGTTATTTCGTGATTCATGATAGAGCAAATTTAACGGAAAATATTTAATTTATTAGTCATATGTATAAATTAGTACATCGTATCAGCGTCTTTTGAAAGAGCATAATAAATTTAAAGAAAAATCAATTGCTTTGACAAGAATTAATGTTACGGCTGTTACCAATACAGTTATAATGGTAATGAACAAAACAACTCGATAGTACCCATCTGTGTTAGAGGTAACAAGTGGGCTTGCAATTTTAGATATTAAAGAAAAGACACTCATTTTGAGTTCTTTCCAAATCGAATTATTATATGTTAACGGGTAGCTATCCATAATTAGGAACAGTTTTTCATCCTGAATATATCCATACTTAAATATAAATTTTTTTTTTTTAAAATATTTAGAAAAGCAATAGTAGCATGGCTGATATTTAGTGAGGTTAGAGTCTTTTGCGCATTGAGTAAAATCTTTGCAATATTCTAACGTATTATTTTCTAAGTCATGTCGACAATTTAATAACGGGATAGTTCTAAAAACGGTCAAGGAAGCAACTAACAGTGCATTTTTATTAGTAGAATTTCGTTTTGATAACCGCATCCCGATAATAAAAATAAAAAATATATAATTACCGTTTCGTCTTTATTTTTATTAGCAATATAAACTTGTCTGCAATTCGTTATCAAAAATGCCAATAAAAGCAATATCAACAACTTTAAAGCTTGAGACTTGCGCTTTTTCTGAGGAAAAAATTTACCCAGGTAGGGCTAGAAATTTTGTTCGAAAGTAAGTTACTAACATGCTTTTTGGAGTCACGTTGCATTTGAACGTAGCTTCGTGTAATTCCAAGAGTGTAGTTCTCAACTATGTTTTAGAGATGGAAAAGTTTTGACTTTCATAAACGCAAAGTGTAAGAGTTTGAACTCGCAAAAAATCAAGTCTTTGAATGTCCGTTGGACCCCCAGCTGGAGAAAAGCACACAAAAAGGATGTTAGCGACAATCAGTCTTCGAAGAAGAGATCAAAGACCAACGTTCGTACCGTCAAGGCTATTAGCGGAATGAGTTTAGATGCTATTACTGAAATCAAAGCCAAAGCTAAATCCAACTCGTCTAAAACTGAGGGTGGAGCCAAGAAACATGCTCCTTTAGCGTCAAAACATAAAAAATGATCAGTTTTTATAGTATATACATAAGTTTTTATATTTGATATTTTTTGTATATAGAGAACATATATAAAATTAAAAAGTGAAACTGATTATAGGCTGATTATCATTGCTTCATTCAATGTCTTCTGATGAAGTGAGTATAATTGACTCTTCAACGTCATGAGCGAGTTCGCGCTCTACATTAAGTTGAATAGAGCTAGAATCTGCTAACATTTCGTTAGACTGAATTTGTTCAACTGGCTGAACGGAGAGTGAGTTCTCTATGGTTTGTTCGGTTGGCTGAACGGAGAGTGGATTCTCTATGGTTTGTTCGGTTGGCTGAACGGAGAGTGGGTTTTCTACAATTTGTTCGACTGGCTGAACGGAGAGTGGATTCTCTATGGTTTGTTCGACTGGTTGAACGGAGAGTGGGTTTTCTACAGTTTGTTCGACTGGTTGAACAGAAAGTGCGTTCTCTGCATTTTGTTCTGATATTTCGAATTTGTCAAACTTAACTTTCTTCTCAGGTTGGGCCGGAGTTTCAACAGACGAAGCAAAAACAGGTACGTTATTAACAATGTCAGATTCTTGTATGATAAGAGGAATGAAGTGGTGGTTTTGGAATTCGTAGATTTTGGCGTTTTTGATTAAATCACGGTTGAGTTCTGCCGATAAAATTACAATGGTACAGTGTACAGACAATGTTGTCAAGACAGATTCGATCAATTTGTGGTAAGAAGGAGGAATTTGTTCGAAAATATTGTTGTAAACAATAAGGCTGACTTTCTTTAGTAAAGATTTGATGAACAACATGCAGGCAATCACAGTTGGAGTGACTTTGTGTTGAACTTCACGAAGACGTCTTGAAGCGTTTTCACCGGTGAAAGAACTGAAAATACTTTCGAAGTTAAGTTCTTTAATAATGTTGTCCAAGTCTTCTTTAGTAACGTTTTCATCGTTGACTCCTAATAACATGAATTCGTACGCAGTCAAGAAATAGTCGATGTCGTCAGTGTAGTTGCAGAACAACGAGTTGTTGGTCAATTTGGAGTTGCTTATCATGTTAAGTAAAATGGAGGCGTCATTGAAATCCTCAATCGACTTACTGCTCTTTTCGGAATGACTCAATTGAACAGGAGATATTGTGTTCAAGTTTTGAGTCAAGAAATTTCCAATGCATTCTCTGTAGAACGAAGACATCTTGTATATATACACAATGGTGTGAGCTTCAATAAGAAGATTGGCATTTTTGAGAATCTGTGTACCAGTTAACTTGCAATACATGTTTGCATTAATGAGTTCCAAATTAGAATCTAAGTCATCAATGTTAATAGAGCAAGAAAGTAAGTTTTCAACAGGCGGTAAAGACAACGATTTTTCCTCGACGATTCTCATTATTGGAAGAGCTTTGATTGATAAATCACGAAGTTTGTTTGAGAATGTTGGAAGCAGTGAACTACTGTGGATGTGACCTAAAGCGATTTTGGTGAAATCAGCAAGTGTTTTGAAATCTATAGAGCCAGATTTAAAGTTGACGTACAACGAGAACGACAAGAGGGAGACGACAATAATAAATGTCGCGCTCTTATTCCAAATGACAGATAAAATAGAAAATCTTGATTCTTGGGTATCAATCTTCTTATATTCCTTGAAATATTTGACTATGGTTTTGTTGCTGTTATCATATTCATTCCAAGCTGAAATAGTCGGTAAACAGTTAAACTTTGAAGTAATTGCTGAAATTAAGAGAAGTCTGGATCTCTGTCTATCGTGAGCTATCTTTCGTTTTCGTTCATGGATCGTTAGAACGACAATCATGTACACGTGAATAAAGAATAATATCAGAAGGAAAGTCATAATTTTGAAACCAGCAAACGAAACTATAAGATCAATTGAAATGAAACTTGATATAATTAATTTTAGGAAGTTAGGTATGGTTTCCAAAATAACCAGTTTAGCTAATTTGACATTAAGCATTGAGTAATCCGCAAGCATTACTGCAAGTTGCGAAGGTGTAATGTGTTTTTGAAGCTTTTTACTGTTTTCATAGTTGGTTATGCAAGTTGCAAACAAAGGAACTTTTGTGTTTGGCAAATAGTAGCTGAGTAATAGTTTAGATAATGCAGTCAGGATAGGCTCGGCTATAAACAAGGCTGCGACTTTTGAAAACTGAATTAAACCTTTGTTGTCGATTAGTTTTCCAGTGTCTCTGCAACGCTGAAAATGTTCGGGTAAATTTTTAAGTTCATTAATTGTCATGATATCACACATGGGCCCTGCCGCGCTAAGACCAATGGCAGTAATAAGTGCTAGCCACGATTTTTTGTTCTGTGGTTTTATTTGTTTCAAACTAAACTTCAATACTTCCCATGTTCTGATATTACTGTTTTTAGAATAATCGTCGTAGTCTAAACTATGAGTTAAGTTAAAAGATTCGTATTTTGAGACAGCCGGCCGCACGTTTGTACCAAAGGGCACGAGCGATGCCTCTGGATAGTAGTACTCGTCAAGAATAAGTTCTTTGTTTTTTGATTCACTTGCTTTTCTCATAATTCAAAAAAATTCAAAAAATTTTAAAAAAATAAAAATTTTATAACATGTTTATATAAGATGCTAGTTTTCCTAAATTAGTAAATATATTTTGCTGTTAACTCTTTATTACTGTTAGAAAAAAAAGTTTTAACTTATTGCATAGTAAAATACAACAATGTTTATTAGAGTTAAATACGACTTTCAGTTTATTATCAACTCTATAACACATTATATACTAGTTTCAAATTAGTTAATATACAACTAAGTTTGTTTAAGTTATTAGACATGTAATGACTGTGTAACTTTTTTATTAATTATGGTCATTGTACTTATCCAATATGTTTTAAATTACTAAATTTTTTGGAACTGAGCGGCGACACAAAATATTTTTTTAATTTTTTTGAAAACATCATTTATTAATTCAAATACACAGCCTTGTTGCACAGCGATATAGTTTTTTATTGAGTTTTTTTGTATAAATTTTAAAATATCTTTGTTGAAACGGTATTTAAAACTAAGCACTGCAACATGAATCTCCGCTTGAGCAATGCATCGCAATATCTTTATTTTGTAGTGGTTTAGGTTTTGTGTTTTCAACATAGTCAAACAAATTTTTAAATATCAAACCGTTTTTCTCTAGCTCATCAAACGAGCCACGCTCTACAATTAAACCTTTGTCGAGGATGATCACTTCATCTAAGTCTTTTAATAAATACGGTTCATGAGTGACTACAATCATGGTTTTATCTTCACAAAACTTTTTAACTACTTCTAATACTTTATTTTCGTTGATTTTATCAAGAAAAGTGGTTACCTCGTCAATTAACACAATCGAAGGGTTTTTAAGCGCACATCTGATAATTGACAGTAATTGTTTTTCACCTCCAGACAAGTTAGAACCATTTTCTTCAATTATGGCGTTATAACCGCCTATTTTCTTCACTAACGACTGCAACTCTAGTGAGTTGACAACTTTATCAATATCATTATCAGTTATTGCAGCTTCGTTATTGCCAAAAAGCAAGTTTTCGCGTAAAGATCCGTTAAACAAATATGCTTGCTGAGGTATAACAGCGATTTTACTTCGCAAGCTGTTGATAGAGACATCACTGATATTTTGACCACAAACTAATATTTCTCCTTTTTCAGCATTGTATAATCGCATTAAGAGTTTTAGCAAAGAAGTCTTTCCAGCTCCGTTAGTTCCAGTAATACCAATCTTTGCTTTTCCTGGAATGAATAAATTGAAATTTTTAATGACATAATCAGTTGAACCCGGATACTTGAAAAAAAGATTATTGAATCTAATGGACCCTCGATTTATTACAAGTTCCTTTTTTGCTTCATCTTGGATATTTTGTTCATTCATTAAAATTTCGCTGACTTTTTTCATTCGTCTCCAATTCAAGATCCATGTTTGAGTCAATGTTCCTAGAAAATGTAAAGTAGATGAAATGTTTTGAAATGCTGAAGTCGTTGCAGAAACTTGCTTTATTAAAGAAGTTGAGTTTCCCGGTTCAGCGGATAATATAGTTTGACTCACAGCTTTCAAGGAGCCAGTTTCTAAAAACAATTTTTGGAAAAAATTAAGTATATGGAGACTAGACACTACCTTGGTGTCTGCTCGAACATAATCGACCATAGCTGTTTTTAACCTTTCGTTCGAAGTCTGAGTGGCATCTAATAACCTAACTAAATCAGCTGCAGTCATTGTTTCGATTAATTTTCCTTTAAAGTTGAACTTCTTTAAACCCATGCTTTCTCGCTGTTTTATTCTATGCTGAGTGTAACCAAGTGTAAATAAAAAATAAGTAGACAGAGTCATTCTGTTAAACAATCGCGTTTTAGGTGATACGTTGGAAAGCTTATTAACTTTCAGAACCAATTCGGAAATATCCAACATTGTTGGAATGATTCTGTGCATAAAATTACTGGAAAAAGCTGAAGCAGATTTAAAGTTTTCGAGCAGTTCTGTAGTGAACGCTCCAGAGGTAGTTGATATTAGTCCGTTATACTGAGAAGAGTTTATTATGTTGATAAGTCTATTCGAATTTCTTATTTCCATTTTATCAGTTACTCTATGAAATAATATTGCACTTAGCTCATTCGAACTAAACGTTAAAAATTTGGACAAAAACCATTTTGAAAGTAACGTGTTCACCTTAGAATTTTTGATGTTAAAATCTGATAAGGTTGAAGGCTTCGACAATTCAGCCGATAAATCGGCAAAATAAGAAATAGAAGCAAATTTGGCTTTTCTATTGAGCAAGATAAGTAAAAGAGTTCCAAGTGTTTCTAACTTAGATATTTTATCTTCTGGATAAATCAAACTACATGTCCATAAGAAGTGTTTGAACTTGCTATTTAATTTTGATTTTGGCAAAGCTAAATCATTTGCAATCCTGGGTTGTACATTTTGTATTGTTTTATTATTTTCCTTTGATTTCGATGAAAAGTTTAAATTCTCACTCAAAAAAACATTTCTGGAACTTAATTTATTTGTCAGTTTAGTACTACTTTTTGGAATAGACTTTTCTTTGTTAAAATATGATTTTAACATTTTTTTGTAAAATAAGTTTCAAGATTTTACAAATTTTTTTCATTTTAAAAATAAAACAATGTTAACCTCTAACAAATGTTAAAGTAAAAAAATTTCTAGTAGCAGTTATGGTTTGTTAATTTTGTTTTCAAAATGTTGTGCTTCAATAAAATTATTTTGCAAGCGCGTTTGCTACGCTCATATAAAACTTTTTTGTGATTAGATATTAAAATGCATGAAGTTATTGAATTATTAAATCAAACGTCCTTACATTCAAATTCTTGTCAAAGCAAGAAGCTTATGGACGACAGTAATGGTGTCATTCGTTTCAATCTTTGTTTTGACTTAATGAACGCCATTTTAGATTCAAATGAAGGCTACATATGTAGTTACTTGGATGATCTGGCAAAAAACGTGAACATTAGTGTTTTATCTGATTATTTAGCATCGATAAAAACCTGCTTATTCCCAAATTTACTAGCTATTGAACATTTTAAGGTTCTTGTAATTGCTTTACATATTCTATTATTTTTTGATTTAGATAGAGCCTTACAACTTAACCCTTACAATATATATTTGAAACATATATATAATAAAAATGTTGTACATGAGGAAATAGATTATTCACAGTCGCTAGATGTAATTTTGAAAAAAAATTGTTGGCAAAATCTAGAACTTGATCCAAGAATTTTTGCGGTCAACAATTATATCAATATTGACTTACAAGTATTATTAATATACACATATTCTTCTGGTAGACTCAATATGTTAATGTTACAAGTAATTCGGAGTTTAGTTAAATTTTGTTCTTCAACTGATGAAGTTCACAAGCAATATTTTGAACAAGTTCAAAAAATTTGTAGCGAGTCAAGTTCAAATAAAAATTTGTCTGAACGTAAGCTCAAAAACTTCCCCGTTTATAATCAAATTATAAACTTGAAACGGGCTTATTCCTATGCTGTTGAAAGAGTTATTGATGAATCAAAGTTTGAATGGTACAGAAGTATGCTTATAGAATCAGAACCAAACACAATAGTAGATACTCTCGAAGATTTAAGAAAAGATTTATGGTTTAATGAAGTTTTACCATTTGCTAATGATAGTAAAGAAAAGGTAGTATCACTATTAACTCCCATGCTCGGTCATCCTTCTGTTCAAGTGAGAGAATACGCAGTAAACATATTCACTTACTTAAATAATCGACATAATTGGGAATATCAAGCGCCACTGTTAGCTGATGTGAAAGAAATTAATGACGATTATATCATTACTTTGACATTATTTCTATCCACGCACCCATCTGAAAAGAAAAAAGGTCCTTCAAACTTTTACTTGTGTGTATATTCTCCAGAAACAGAAAAAGGTCAAGATAATAAATACTTTTGTAGTTTCAAGTATTACAAGGTTAGCTGGACACCGTTTTACGATAACAATTTAAAAAATAGGGTAGTCACAGCAATATTTGATTCAAAAACAATGTATAAATGGACCTCGACAATAAATCTAGGAAAATTCACAAAGTGTGGCTTCTACGATTACAGGCTTTTTTATTATTCTTATTCTGAAAATAGATTTGTTACAGCTACTCCTTTAGTTGACGAGCAATCTTGTGTAAAACAATCCTCCTATAGTTTAGCAAGCATAGATGAGAATGCTGACGAAGTTTTATTTGACGAAAACGATAAAATTAAACTAATATACAATAAGTTGAAGCAAGAATATAACGGTGTGTTACCGATTCAAGGTAGAACCATCGTTCTGGCACCGAAAGTTAAACATAAAATTTATGCCGAAGTTAATGTAGATTATTATAATGCTACATATCTTGCTAATGGTGAAATAGCAAAGCGAGGAAATTTTCGTGAATTGTCCAATTCGGTTTGTAAAATAAAAAGTTCAGGTATAGATGGGCTTTTTTTCGATTCATGTATGGAACGTAACACCGGATTACCAACTGAAAATGATTCTTTTGAAAGAGAAAGTGCTTCGCCATATGTAATTATTTGTCGAAAAACACCTGCATCAATTCTAGGAGGTTCGAAAGAATTTGAAGAATTATCTTTAGAGGCTAAAAAAAATGATCTTAAGTTGTTTATAGAAGCGCCAATCAGAATAAGTTCTACTCATTCTCATAGAATTTATTCGAGCTCGATTTTAAAAACCGTAGATTCGCACGGATTAACAAAGATTGTTACCGGAACCCCAGGTAAATATATTAAACATCATGAAACTGCAATGCTTAACTTTAGAGATTCCCAAGTTTGGAGACAATATATTGACGATATCATTCATTGGATCGACAAATTCGACATTGATGGTGTTCGAATTGAAAACGCAATTCATTTTCCTGTTTATTTCCCCATGAACTTGCATGAACTCAAAAGAAGGGAGCCCGATTACCAAATGAGTTATAGCGATGAAGAAATTTTCAAAGGTTCAGTAATTAAAAAAGTTGTACAGGAAGATGATATTATTCGAGGAATATATGATACAAAGTACTTTCATAAATTCTACGCTCATCCAATTTATGTATATTTAACGAAAGAGCTCTGGTCTGTTAAAAACGATTTATATATATTTGCTGACTGTGGAATATTAAATAATGATGATTACGATAAAGTATCATGTTTAGCACGATCTGGGTTAATACCATTCTCGATGAATACCGCTACAATTTTACCAAAAGTATTTGGAACTTGTGTATCAACTAATGGAGAAATCAAGCAATGTGCAAGATCAGATGTTTCTACTTTGCACGCCTGGCACAGGGAAATTCATAAAAATTTGCCAGCTTCTACGCCTTTAATAACTTTTTCTTGTTATCCAAACAGTCCACTTCCAGCGATAATATACAAAGCAGGAGTTTGGGCAGCGGTTGATTTCCATTTTTTAGCAAATGACATTCCATGTATCTCGATTGAAGAACAGTCAGAATCTACGCTGCGTTTAAATTTATGTAAATATACATCTGACATTTTGCACATTGAGCAAGAAGAAAACGAACCAAGAAAACTTGATGAAGATGATTATGAAAGCGAAAACAGCCAACAAAATGAACTTAGTTCATTAAATTTACTTTCGAGATCTATGAAAGACATAATTAAGACGCATTATGAACTTTCTAAAACAATTTCATTAAGTTCTGGTAAAACTTTGAAAGATTTATCTCTTCATTATCAAGCAGCGAAACAACTCCGGTCTAAATATCCGATATTTATCGATTCACATTTAATTCCATTGAAAGTATACAACAGGGCAGGAGAAAGAATGAATTACATATATGCATTTTGTCGGCTCAACTCGAACAAACAAATAGTCATTGGGGCAATAAATTTTGAAGACAAAATGGTCGATGATGCTTGTATATCTCTGAGTTTTATTCGATCTTTGGCTAAACAAGCAAATTTATCTTCTAATACAATTTGCGAAATGTGGGATATGAAGAAAATAAACAATGATTATGATAATGTGTCATTGGCGGAAAAAGCGATCGAAAAAAATAATATAGATGTACTAATATGCGATAAATTAAAACTCTCTCGATTGAATCAATTAATAGCAACACCATTACTTTTAATGTTACAACCGTATGAATCTAAAGTATTTGGTTTGAAATTTTTACAATCAAGTCCATTTTCTGAAGCTTGTGAATTAGCCTTATATTTAAGTGACATTCAGCACATAAAAGAATTATCATGGCGATGCCGTAATGAAAAAAATTTTATAGGAAAATTGAAGCACAAAACTTTGAAGCGAGCAATAGATTCGAATTATATTTTCTCCTTAATAAAATACTCTTGTTCATATAAGGAAAACATAGAACAATTATTCTTACTTTTCAAGCGACTAATTCATATTGATGCACTGACTTACAAAGCGAGTTCTAACAAAGGATTATATCATTTCCCCTTCCAATTATATGATTACTTGGTCGATTGCGACGTGTTTAATGAATTTAGTAACGGAGCAACAATGTTTTTTGCAAAATTAGCAAAACTTAAGACAAGTATAATAGAACAATACAAACTACATGAGTCAGAAATTCAACTCTCCTCGTTAGAATATGATAACGCATCAACAAATAACGCATCAGTTTCAACAGACTCGATGCAACTACTTAGCACTCCTGTTCCACAACATTACATTGAAAATACATTACTTACTTACATAAATGAACTAGAAAATAAGCAAGCGATTGGCGATTTAATATTTTTGACAACGGAATACGGAAGGTACTGTACTGTGGGTGGTTTAGGAGTTATGTTAGATGATTTATGTACCACTTTAACTAACATCCATGGTTTCAATTTGAAAGTACTGTTACCTTATTATACCGTCAACACAAAAAATGAAAGAAACTATTTGGATCAATATGAAATGACTTATCTTAAAGACGTGTCAGTTGTTTTAAACGGAAAAACTTATTTTTTTAAATTGTATGAATCATTGTGCAACGGAGTGACTGTTTTATTAGTTTACAATGAAGAAATATTCCCTTGTGTCTATCCTTCTAATAGTGACACAGAACAGGTATTATTTTTGTCAGCGATAGGGAAAGTTTTTTTACAAGTTTTGATCGACATTGATTGTATACCTAGGATAATTATATGTAATGACTGGCCAACTGGATTAGTGCCAGCTTACGGGAAATTTGATTTTTTCGGACCTACATTCAAAAATACTAAATTCTGTCATATCTGCCATAATCTAGACAAGAATTATGAAGGCCGCATTTATGTTTCAAATAATTTTGCTTACGAAGAGATTCACGGACTACCGAGAGATATTGTAATGGATCCTTATTGGGACGATAGCATAATAAATCCCAGTAGAGCTGCGCTATTATGTACAGACAACTGGTGTACCGTTAGCCCTGGCTATAGAGATGAACTTTTGGGATTAGTTCCTAATGTTGAACCATCTCCATTGGCTCCGTTGTTGAAATTGTTCAAAACTCCTTTTGCTACATGTAACGGTATACCAATAGAAGCAAGAAAGAATCAACTAAAGAGCTTAAGTATGACGAGAGAAGAAACAAAACGATTTTTGCAAATGAAATATTTTAACATGACAGATCCAAATTTGAAAATACCTATATTCTCGTTTATTGGACGTATAACAGAGCAAAAAGGTGTTTTGATGATTTTGGAATGTACGGAAAAAATGATAAATCGTTATAACAATCAAATACAGATTATAATTGGAGGTAAAGTTAACTGGAATGATCCTTATTCCGTAGCTTGTGCAAATCTTATGTTATACTTAAGAGAAAAATATCCGAGCTCGTTTTACGCAGAGCCGGAACATTTTTTTACAGATGGAAAAGCTGTTAATTTGGGTAGTGATTTTGCCCTAATGCCTTCATTGTTCGAACCTGGTGGGATTGTACAGCATGAATTTTTCATTGCTGGTACACCTGTTATTTGTTATAACACGGGCGGTTTATCTTGCACTGTTAGTGAGTTTTGTGAGCAAGATTTATCAGGAAATGGATTGGTTTTTAAAAACTATACTAATTCTGAGTTTATGGCAGCCTGGCAAAGAGCGTTAAATATATATGAAAATGTTTATTTCATGGAAGCGATAAGAAAAAATGCAGAAAATAGCGTAATTTCTTGTGAGTCATGTGCATATGAATGGGCAAAAGAATTTCATCGTATATGTGACATGTTATTCGTAGCACCCAACGAGAAAAGGAAATTAGAAGATGAATTAAGTGAAATAAATCTAACGGACAAGATCAAAGAAATCAATGAAAATATAGTTCCAAATTATTTAACCGAGTACAGTTCCAAAACAACAGTAAAATTGGTTCACAACACATCCGTCTTACTTCAGTTCAAAGCACCAGCGAACGCAAGGTCGGTTAAAATATCCGGAAGTTTTGACAATTGGAGAACTCAAAAATCGTTGAAGTTAAATGTTGAGACGGCGACGCATGAAATAATTTTATCTCTAAAGCAAGGACAATATTTTTTCAAGTTCATTGTAGACGGAGTTTGGCAATGTTCAACATATTATAAAACACGAAAACTTGCCGATGGAAACATAAACAATTATATCGAAATATAGCGTTGAGTAACATCAATAAATCAAATTAGTGGTCTTTAAAATATTGTGTACAAAATTTGTAAAATGAGTACCTTTATACTCGTTTAATTGGTTTTTAAATTCAAAAATCACTGATTTTATCTGATTACAATGTTTTTGGTATAAATGGTTATATGCTTTTTCTATTTTTTGTAAAATCGCGAAATCAATTTTCAGATCCACAATGAGTAAATACATTATAAGTAAAACAATTATATGCAATAGTTCTGAATATTGATTGGAAAATATTGAATCAGGTTCAAGAATTTCAAAATGAACTAATTTCTCCCACATGTGATAAAAGATATCAAGGAACAAGTTTTTGTCTAGCATAAATAAATGATGATTTTTTTTCAACAACCTAAGAAGTTCAAGGAAAAAACTCATACTTGAATGTAAAAAATGAAGTAACTCTTTAATTTGCATATGAATTACAGTTAGGTTGAACCGATCAATATAATCTTTGGTGAGAGTTGACATTTCGCTTTTAGACTGATATAATAGCAAAGCTAAGATGAATTTCGAATAATTTTCATTTAACATATGATAATCGCCAGCGTTGGACATATTGTATAGTTCTTTCAATGCGAACAAAATATAGTTGTCATAAATAATAGAGTAGTTGTTTTTTTGTATTATTGCGTAATAACTTAGAAATTTGTATACCGAAAGAATGGATCCAGCTGTGACAAACTGTTTAGTAATAAAGTTCGAGTTGAAAACAAGAGAATTAATAGACGAGTTAGAAATGTTTTTGTATTTGACAAAAAAAGGTTGGTTTTTTTCATCGTCAATTTGATTGGATTCGGGCGTGGGGGAGAAATAAGATAAAAAAAGTAGAAAAGCATAGGAGTGCGCCGGAGTATCTAAACTGCTGTTGGCTTCGATTTCAAAGAAATTCTTGTTTGACGAAAGAAATATGTTAACAATAGAGTTCGAATGACTAAGTTGCAACATAAGTACCAAGATGTTATAAATAATTCTCTCAAAAGTTGAAAGATCAGTGTAACCATTTTTGATTAAATTTAGATATATGTATTGAATTGAATTAGTGAGGAACGAAACAAACGAACTTTTGATAACGTTGTGCGAATCGTTGACAGCGTTGAAACGTTTGAGAATAGTACAGAATATTGTTAAATGCTCAAGAATATATTTTGCACGATCCAAAACGGAGATGTCATAAAACTTTCTTTTGGTTTCATTAATCATGAAATAAAGAGCACGTGTAATTTCAGGTTTTAGCATCGTTTGATTTTGAATGGGCATGTCGTTGAACGTTTTTTCTTGGAAGTTTTCTTCGACGAAATTGGCCACCAAGCATAGCAAAGTAACGAGGATATTATTTTTATTATCCCCGCCTTTAAGAAGATTAATTGCCCCTATGAGTGAAATTTTGTATTTTATGACTGCAGGAGTAAATTTGGAGGCGAGCAAAACGTTAATCAAAACGCTCAAATCTTCAGAGTTGTAGATTGCGCTTATGCTCTTAAACAATTTTTCTACCGCCATCAATCGCGGATTATTTTCCGAGTTACGGGATTTAAACATTATTGATTTAACGTGGTGAGTCACAGCAGTGTCAAACTGGGTTAAATCGCAGAAATCGATCAGTTCATAACAGTCGACTGATTGGAAATGAAAAAGAAACAAGTACGGTAAAATTTCATTCAAGAGAAGCGATATATATGTGTATGGGAGATTTTTGGCTTGAATATTGTCGATGATTTGCTGAAAATGAGTCAACAAATCAGTGACATTGTTCGATAAAGTTTCTTTGTCGTTTGAGTAAATAGTATTTATAACTTCTTCAGCCAAAACAGGGTATTCGACGGAGATTCGATTTACATATTCATTGTACTGAGTTGAACTTATATATTTATTATCAAAAAAAAACTGGACGAGCCAATTCACCATGAATCAAAGTAACTAGTCTGACAGTAAAATTCTACAGCGCTTTACAACTGTTAATTATCAAGAAAATAGGGCAAAATAAGATTTATTACTCAATAGATAATAAAAAATTATTTAATTTTTTTCAACTATTAATCTAAAATCAATTTGTAGGTTTGCAGCTGGTGATGAATATGGAAAATATTAGTAATCTGGATCAAATCTTTTTTGTTAGTTTATTTGGTTTTACCACTTTTATCATTTACCGGTTTTTAAACAAATATGGCGTATTATTTAGCTTTTCGCCAAGTTCGAAGTACTTTCTACTGGTGATTTTTACTATCATTATGGTACAGTTGGTAATTTTTTTGTTAGTTTTGTATCGGTTTCGTTCACACGCCAATAAAAAATCGAGATTAAGCCATCGAAATGATGTTCCAGAAATCTCGAAACAAAACGAAAAGAAATTAGTCGGGCAGGTCAACAAAGATCAAATTAAAAACAAAACTGAAATAAACCAGAAAAGAGGGTCTCATACTAACAGTAACTTCAAACTACATAAAAATAGAAATAACGGGAATCAAAGTAATTCTACAGATAACAATCAAGATAATAATTTGGAAAAAAAACATAAACCAAGCCAAAATTACAATCCGAAAAAAAATAATGCAGCCGCTTATAAGAACCAGGGTAAAATAATAGACAATAAAAAAATTGACAAAAATCCGAACACCGATGCTACTAAACAAACTGACCGTTCAAACCGCAGAAAGTATTTCAGAAATGCAAATACTCACAATAAAAACGTTGGTAACAGTCCTAGCAATTCTGGAGAAAGCTCAAATGACGTCGTGGCTAACCAAACCGGTCAAAATAATTCCAATCAAAAAAATTCTGACTATACGAAAGGAAATACAGAAAGCAAAAATAATACTAAAAATAACAAACAAGGCTCCAAAAATGGAGAAACTTCTAAACACAACGCACAAAAAGATTCTTCAACTTTTCAAACCGCAAGCAATAACGAGTGAATTACTGAACACCAATTTCTAAATTAATTGGCTAAAATAAATTAAATAAAGTATATAATTACATTACTAAGCGCCATTAACATGTCAATTAGTAATTTAGAATAATTAATTTTAGAATAAAAATAAAGCATATATGTGAAAAATATTTCAACTTTCACTATGAATGGCGAAAATGAAAATTTTACATTTCCTTTTGAATCAGAAATAACTATAAAACCGCTTGTAGACAGTGAAGTTTCCGCTTTTTGCTTTTTGAACGACGAAGGTTCCAAATTTTTAATTTCTTCTGCGAAAAATCTTGATATTACTGTGATAAACGAGTCAGACGAGTCTGTGTGTTTAACTAATGAATTGAAAAAAGAAGTCTACCAGTCAACACAGCAGTTTCGATCGATCAATGACGCCAAACAAGTAAACTATTTTGACGAACATGGGTTTTTAATTGCAAAAAACCCAACAATAAGATTTTTAGGTTTTTGCAACACGAATAATGAAATAAATGTTGTGTCAATTTGCAGCATTAACCAGGTGACCATTTGGAAGTTGGACAGCTCGTTAAATAAAGTGGGAGAAAAAAAATTTTTCAACTGTGCTTCAATCAAGCAAAATGTGATGAATTTTGTGTGTCACGAACAGCTTGGTATTTTTTCTTTATCGACAGATTCTAAATCGATAAAAACGTACGATACAACCGGAAAATTGGTTTCGAATATCGTGGGTATTTTAGAAGAAGGAGATTTAATAACTAGCTTATACTTTGAAAAATCAACTTCGATATTGGGTGTTGGTACAAACTTTGGATACATACTTCTTGTTGATGTTAAATTAGGCTATTTATTGGGCCAATGCAAAGCTCACAACTCGGTAGTGACAACGATAACTTTTTTGAATTTAATAATTAATCAGGAAAAAAATACTTTTGCTTTAAGCGCTTCCCTAGATGGCGATTTTACACTAACTTCACTAACATCTATTATCGACATAATAGCTTCAAAGATAAGCATCGGTACACCTAGAATATATGAATTTTTGAGAAATGACTCGACTAAAATGAATTCTTCCAAATTGAAAGATAAAATAGTTAATTACTTGAAATTAAATAAGAAAATAGTGGTGAATTCTGCGTTAACGTCTAATTCCGGGAAGCAGATCGAAGCTTTTATAGTATTAAACAGAAACTTGGTTTCTGACACCATTGACCATTATAAGAATCTCGCTGATCCATCGGTTCGTGTAACAGATATAAGTGAAGCTTCTTTTTTCTTATTTTGCTGCGATGCGTTAGGAAACAACTTTGTCTGGGACATGCTAGACTCACGAGTTTGTGTTGAGTTTAGTCGTAAATTGAACCAATTTACAACACCCAAACAGTACACTAATTATTACAAGATGAGCCAAGACACAAGTGTTATATTAGGAGTTGGTCACGATTACAGCTTAGCGCTTTGGAAGACTAAGCCTTATATCAAGATGTCTCAACTGTTGCAAGGATTTAGCAAGCCCAGCAAGTGTTCGTACATTCGTCAAAAAAATTCAGATGATAACTCAATACAGCTTTATTCGATTTCTGAAAATAACACGATAATTCGCCGAACGCTTAATTTTAGTTCAAGACTAAACGCGCTAGACGAATTTGTTCCGAGCATGAAAGATGACATTGTCCATTTTGACATATCACGCGATTCTAAACTACTTGGATTAATTAGCAGGAAAGGAGAAATTTTGGTTGTGAGCTTGGCGGACAGCAAGGAAATTCTATACGTAAACGAAACCGTATGCGGTCCATCTTTATATATAAAGATAGGATCCGTTGTAGGGGATCAAATTAACGGTTCTTTTGCTTTGACTTACTCGAATGACAATAGCTTACGCAAATGGAATTTGACTCGTGACAGCCAAAACCGAGACAAATCAGATTTCATCAGCTTTGTTTCAAAACAAGACATCTACGCTATGGAGTTGAACCCGGCAAACTCTCTTGTTGCACTTGGTGGCACAGATAAACATATACGTGTTTTTTCAACGACTAAGTTGCAGAAACTGTTTTCATCAAACATACATTCTGCTCCCATCACTGCTTTCGGCTTTAGCGATAATGGTCATTCGTTATTTTCTGTTTCGCTAGACAACACGATAAAGCACATTAAAATAAGCAGGGCACATGAACAAGTCATCCACCACTTGGCTGACTTCACTGGTTTTTCAGCTCGCGTAAAAAAACTTTATTTCGATTCAAACTTACAACAAATTCTAGCTGGCTGTGTTGACGGGCATTTATATTCCTGGGACATCACAACAAAAACTTTAGTTGGCCAGGTTATAGCTCATGAAGCAAGCATTGACGACATTACCTACGTGAATTTCAACGATAAAAAATTCCTTGTCAGCTCAGCGAGTGATTGTTCTCTGAAATTGTGGTTTAATAACTATGAAACGCTTCTTCAACACAAAACAGAAGAACAATCTCAACAACTTGAAAATAAACTAAAAATCGACGTATACATACAGAATCATGATTATGTCACAGCATTATTACATAGCGTTAAGTTTAAATTTGTTAATGGGTTCGTTAATGTTTACAACCATTATAATAAAAGTCTGGAACTAGAAGTGTTAACAAGACAAGAAATATTTGCCAAAGATCTTTCATCTATAGTGCATGATCTGATACACCAATTAACGACAGAGAACGAGTTCGAGTCGTTACTTTATTGTACTTTAACACTCCAAAAGAGATCGAAAACATTAGGTTTCGCTGTGCTCATTGTCAACTGCATTCTACAGTCGCCGAAACTTGATCAATTTAAACTAGTACATGGCTTCCACGAGTTTACACAAGCAACAATTAAACTCAGTCAACCGCTCTTAAGTAAAATTGAATTTTTACTCGAAAAAGTAAATGTTTTTGAATATCTAGATCGCGTTTAGATCGAGTATTATTTTTCGCATGAGTTTATCAACGTCTCCCAGTCATCCCAGTGGTGGAGTCTGATGCCTTTGTTCGACATATTGTAGGGTCTGCAAAATACGACGTGTTTCCAGACAGGTTTTAACACCATTTCATCGTTAATGGTGTTTGGGTTATCATCAATCAGGATGTCACCTATAATAAGACTCTTATCTTCGAGTGGGATGAGTCTAGGTTTAAACTCGGGTCCGAAATGTCGTTCTATCCAACGAGCTTTTTCTTGTAAAGATCTAGAATAACAATAACGGTCAGGCTTACTAACGAAAAAAACATGGAAACCTTTAACCAACATTCCTTTGACCGCCTTAACGGCACCTGGCATTGTTGGAGCATGTTCAAAAACACCGGGCAGCATTGTGTAATTTTTTATTATGTCTATATTGGAGAATTTGCCGTCATAGTTTTTCTCCATACAGTAGTTTACTCGTTCAGAAGGGTTCAATTTGTGAATCATTTGTTCCTGATAGTTAACTGTATTGTAAAACATGGCATCCCAATCAGATAATGTATTATCAATATCTATGAGAATTATCCGATACTTAAGCGTTACGGGTGTGAAAATGACTGTACGTAGTTTATTTGAACAAATACAGTTTACTGTAGGCTCATATTCTCGTGGAATAGGAGCGATTTCCATTTTCAGCCTAACAGGTTTATTTGATTTAATTGAAATAAAAAAAATAATATTAAAAAGAAAAAATACAAATAACCCAATGACGCGTATTAAAAACCATCTGACGGTTCGTTCATTTTTCCATTCTCCGTAAACATAATTTGTCAGGGCCAGATGATCAAACTTATAAAATTTTCGCGAGCACAAAAAAAATTAATTAGATTCAAATAATATTATAACCTTTCTCCATGGCTAATTTGATGTAGTAGCGCATATTCTCTTCGGGCGAGTAGCTCAAGCGTTCCTGCCACGCTTTTACTTTTGCACGCTTCACAAAAGGGTTCCAGTCGGTGGGTGGATCGTTTGGACTTTTGACCGCTTTCATTGCACCGTAAAACGGTTGCATGAGTTCCGCAGTCATGTTGTTCTTTTTGTCGTTAACGAAATCTTTCATGTAGTTGATCGACTTTTCGAAATTCGTTTTCAAAGCGTCTCCAGAAAGGCAGTCAGGTGATGTCATCGTTGCAATTAATTATTTTAGAAAAATAATTATTGTAAAAAACTACAAATTATTTTTATATATTGCGGTTTTAAAATTTCTGTAATTATATTTGGATCGTTTAAAATAATTCCAGCCGAAACCATAGCCGGTTAATAAGGGGTTGCACTCTATAAATATGGATAATTCAGCGTCTTTGTAGTCGATCGTGTTTCCGGTTTTTTCGCTGATCATTACATCATATGTTCTGGCTAAAATGTTTTCACGCTGGCCTAATGAATTGTTTCTACGGTTGAGAATAACGCAAACTGTTTTTTCAGCCAACTCGTTCGCTGAGAGATCAACAGATTCAATGAAATTTTTCAACTGGCTTTCAACGTTTGCCAAACCGATTTTCGTAGGCAGCTCACAATAATCAATTGGGATGATTCTATGCAGGTAGTTGGGCGTAAACCCAAGTGACGGCTTTCTAAACAGCAAGTCTACGTATTTCGACGCGCTCAATTTGTTTTCTTTTCTGTTTAACTTGGCAAAACTGACGCATCTACAAATTTCAAAAAATTCCAACCTAGAATCGAAAACTTCTTCATCGTCTTCGGTTAAATCAGCAAGAGATGCAAAGGTGGTTTTACTTTTAGCACCGTTGTTTTCGTGATCAGTTGAGTCTATGGGGTCCTTGTTCGTTTTTACGTGATTCTCGACTAATGTTAGCAGTTTAGCTAGCTCTTTGAACGCTGCTTTTGTTTTACCTGGAGAGACTGTAATTATAATAAAACCACACGAACCTGGACCAATAGCTTGGTTTTTTTTGAATTTTTGGTAATAATTTGTCATTACAGAATGCTAGCTAAGTAAACTTTTTTGTATTGCACCGTAATGTTCGTTTAGACAGCTTTTTCGCCAAAATAATTAATTAACTAAAAAGTAAAATTTCATTTTCTTTATTTTGCTTGAATTTTAATAGCGGAAATATTCTGCTTAATTCAATAAATTAATTATTATACAGAATGAATACCAATCATCCTCGTCACGTAATCAAGCCTCTAAAGCACAGGCATATAGCTTTGCGAAGAGTCGATTTAATTCTGTATACAATCATTTCTGTTTTCTTCCTGAGACATTTCGTAAGTATCACACCTTGTCAATTTACGTATCTAGGTTCTCAACACACACGATACATTAAATTATAACCCCAATGAAACATTGTCGAAGATCACTGCTTACACAAGTCTACACGAACCAACAGATATTAGTTATAATACTAAATCATACTTTCATCTGATTCAAAAAATACCGCCAGGTATTCCGCCCTTTACGCCTACGTCAATTGTACCTTTAGATTTATTAGAGCCTTATCACCACGTACACAACACGCTGCTATTAAAACGTGTGCTCATTATTTTAAATATTTTTGGTTTTATTGTTTTGATGCTCTTGCCACTATGGTGGTCAAAATACAAAGAAGTCGTGATTTACCAAATTTGCCGTTCTTATAAAGAAGTGTCAGTTTTAAAGGTTCAAGAACGAAACAAACTTTTTAGGTTCTACGGCGTTCAGACTGGTTTGAGTTATGACGAAAATACAAAAAAATACAAACAAACCAAATTAATTCTTTTTCACTATAAAAAGTACTACATCTGCGAAGGTGAAAACACATCTGCAAAATACGCCACGCTTCCAGATGAAAAACTTCAACTTCATCTTAAAAAATGCAGCGTTAATCCAAAATTAAAGATAAACGATGTGCTAGCAATTGAGAATTTAGGTTACAATTCTGTTGACCAAATAAAAAGGATCAAACAGGTTTACGGACAAAATGTCCAAGACATTCCTGTGCCAAGTTTATACGATTTAGCTTATTACCAGTTTACCCAGCCCCTATTTTTTTTCCAAATAGTTTGTATCATTCTGTATTTGCTGGATGAGTTGTGGCAATACTCTGTGTTTACCTTTTTCTTTACAATTGGCATGGAAATTCGTTCAATCTTTCGTAGAAGAAACGACTACAAACGCATCAGCTCAATGCGTATAAAGCCCAACCTAATTGCCGTTTACAGACTCAAAAAATGGTACAAGATGAGCTCAGAAGATCTTTTGCCAGGTGACATTTTCAGTCCCAGTCAGAAGGAGGTGTTAGACACTTTGCCTGTCTTCCCAAGTTCCAAACGAAAGCTTCCTAAGTTTTTCCGTAACATTGAAGATAATTCATTCGTGTTTCCGTGCGACGCGCTTATTCTTGAAGGAACACTCGTAGTCAACGAAGCCCTGCTCACGGGAGAAAGTTTACCTCAGGTGAAATCTCAAATACAGCGCGAGTCTTCTAACATCGATATAGACACAGAATTTCTACACAAAAACAACACAGTTTATAGCGGCACATCTTTACTACTTGCCACGATGCACGCCGTTTCTGTGGAAGAATTTAAAGCGCCGAAGAATTGTATTCTTTATTGCTACAGACATGGATTCAACACAATTCAAGGAAAACTGTTGCGTTCAGTCGTGAAGAGTCGCACAACTGATTTGAATGAAGTCAGCTCTGACGCGTTAATTTTTTTAGTTGTACTTACGCTAGTTGCTCTCAGTGCATCTGGTTATGTCTTAACAAAGACATGGTTTCAGCCAAATCGAAACAGATATAAGTTGCTTCTTCGAAGTGTAATGATCATCACATCTGTAGTTCCGCCTGAGTTTCCCATCACTCTTTCTATGACAATGCAAAATACTATTACTAAACTAATTAGTAAAAAAATATATTGTACAGACGTGAATAAAGTAATGTACTTAGGAAAAATATCCCACTGTTGTTTTGACAAAACCGGTACACTGACGTATCCTGAGATTATTTTTGCAGGGTATTTATCCTGGACTGATAATAACCAAACGAAAATAACGGAAGATCCTGAAGTAACAAAGGCAACGATAGATAAGCACACAAAGTTGGTTTTAGCTGCTTGCCACAGTTTAGTATTGATAAGAAATAATTCTTCTTTACCTGAGAGGCTAAGAAAAAATACCGACGGCGAAGAAATAATAAGTGAGTACGTTGTTCTCGGTGATTCTCTAGAAAAGAAAAATTTGCTATTAACTGATTTCACACTTCAGCACAACGATCCAGACGTATTACATTCTAAAGTTGACAACTCAGAGATCACTATTTTGAAACGGTATCTTTTTAACTCTAACGACCAAAGAATGACCACCATCGTAAAGTATAAAAACGAAGTTTACGTATTAATGAAAGGAGCTCCGTCCAAAGTCATTGAGTTTGTCAAAAATCCCCCTGTAAACTATGAAGTTGAATCCAGAAAAATCTCGATGCAGGGTAAACGTGTTATCGCGCTTGCTTATAAGAAACTCAAGAGCCGTCTATCATTGCAAGATCTAAATCAATACACGAGATCCATGTTAGAAGAAGACTTGATTCTGTCTGGTTTGATCTATTACACATGTTTAGTTAAATCTCAAACCGTCAAAACGATCAAACTGTTGCGGAACACTTTGCACAGTGTTCGCATGATCACCGGTGATGATCCCATCACAGCAGGAAACATATCATACAAATGCAGCATTATCGATACCGACAATTTTTTCTTACTCAATTATGATTCAGAAAATGGTTTTTCGGAGTACAACATTAACACATGGACTACGACCAACGTGTCAATAGATGAAGTTCTAACCAGTAAAAACAAAAATTACGTAATAGATGGCAAAAACTTAGCTCGTTTAGAAGAAACTAATTACGACTTGTTGGTTCAACTTGTAAACAGGCTTAAGATATTTGCCAGAATAAAGCCTAGACAAAAGCAACTATTAATAAAGATTTTGAACGATTTGGGTAACGTCACTCTTATGTGTGGAGATGGAACGAACGATGTTGGAGCTTTGAAAGAAGCGCACGTTGGCGTCAATTTGATGAACGCGGAAGAAGTCCAAGATAAAGAAATAGATGAAATAAATCACATAGATGAATGTACTATCGAGCCTGTCAAACTAAGCCGATCTAGACGTTTGAAGCTTGGATTGACAGAAAAGCAAATAACGCAGCTCGAGCAAATGGAAAAACAGTTTATCGTGTTCAAAAAGTCCATCAACTCACGACACAACACGATTCGTTTTTACTTATGTAAAGCTTATTTGAAGTCAATAAAGAAAGTTGAAGAAAAGTTTATTAATGCTTCTTTCAATAAGAAAAATAGCATGTTTGGCGCCTTACTCGACAACGAACAGGATGAAGAGAACGAAATCCATATAGGCGACTCTTCAATTGCAGCTCCATTTTCGTTTAGGGGTGACAGCATTAACTGCGTCACCACATTGATGTTGACAGGAAAAGCCGCACTAGTCCGTGTCATAATGTCTTACAAGATGATGGCGCTAAACTCTCTTGTAACTGCGTTTTCGTTGTCTGTTTTGACAATGTACGGAGTTAAATTTGGGTCAAATCAGATGACGGCCGAGAGTTTTTTTTTCATGGCTTTAAATTTGAATATCACCTTTGCTCGGTCTGGTAAAACTTTGACCCACGACAGGCCCACAGATAGATTGCTGAGTTTGAGCTTTTTCTTAAACATAGCGTTACAGTCTTTGACCCATATGATATCTTTCATGTTGGGTATTAAATTGGCGCTTGCGTATTCAAATTACTATCACGGAAACGATGGTCCTTTCGCGCCCAACTTGCTCAACACTGTGACCGTCATCATTGGTCTGGGTCAACACATCGCCAACACCATAGCCAATTATGAAGGCGCACCGTTCATGCAGTCGTGGAAAACATTCTATACGCTTATTCTGTCGACAATAGCCTGCATCTTTACTTTGTTAGCTATTGTGTTCCAGGTCTTCCCGTACTTCAACATGTTAATTCAGCTTGTACACATTCCAAAAGGCTGTCGCACCAAACTGCTCGCGATCATACTCGCAAATATAATTATTGCGTCGTTTGTTGGCCAGTTTTTCATGTCATTGGGACGTTATAAGCGGCTGATTGATCAAAAGAACAGACTAAAAAGCATTGAATAGGCCTTTTGAGGTAGTTCCAAACCTGGAACTTGTTGTTTTTATATACACATTTCTGATTAAAACTAAAAACTATGATGTTATACACAACTATTAAAGGGTATCGTCATAAATTTATCGAATCCAAAAAAAAATATTGCAAAAAAAAAAAATGTTAAACAAGCTAGCTCCTTAACTGACCGAACATAAATAACATAAATAGAAGTTTCTAATTATGGCTAGACACAAATGTTAAATTCAGAGTTTTCAAACACAACGATTTTCTCCGAAATTAAATGATGTATTATTCGTTCATAGCAAGACGAAGGCACTCCTAAATCTCGCATTTTTTGTTTGAGCGGTATGTTGTTCTCAATGCAATTTTTTAATTGAAACAGAATTTCCGCAGACATGATTGGAAGTTCAATAACTCTTTGTTTCAAGTTATCCATATCGTCGTACAGTTTGATCGTGACTTTGCTTAGTTTATTGCTCAGTACAAACGTTTTAAACTCGTTTTCATTTTGGTAGATTTCGTAAATCGGAGTGAGCTCTTCTACGAGACTCGAAGGTTTATAATCAATGTCCAATATTGAATCGTTTTCCTGACTTTTTGACTGATTTTTAACTAATTCTTGCTTATGTAACGACCGTTTAATTAAATCTGAAAAGATTAAATCTGTTTCAGAAATTTCTTGTGTTGAGCCGAGTTCATTCACAGACTCCGAACTTTCGTTCGTCTTTTTGTTGTCCGATTCCAGCGGGTCGAGTTTGTTTTGCCACACATAACGAGATAAAACATAGATGGTCGATAATCCAGACACGTACGGGCTCCGATTTAAAACTGACGCAAGCAACTGGCACTTGTAAAAGTCAATGCAAAAACAGAAATTCTTAATTTTAAAAAACTTTTTAAGCAGCTCGTCAATTGGCTTTATGTTTTTTAGTTCACAGTCACCTTTTTCAATGGTGTTTATGACGTGGTAGCACATAACGCCCAAGAGGTGTCTGAAAAATTTGTGGTACTTGTTGCCATAGATTTTGAAAAACTGTAAAATAATGTTTCTACGTTGTGTTTCGTATTCAGAATCAATGAGTTGCTCGAATTCAGTAATGCCGATGGCGAAGCTATCTGCACGCGTTTGGGTGGAGTAGAAATTGCATATCTCCAAGCTATTAAACGTTTGGCTGCTTGATTCTTCAAAAGTAGTGGTTGCCTGGTATTCCAATTTCTTTTCGTTAATTGACTCGGGTGAGCTGGACTGTAAATTGTCACTCGTAGTGGGAATGAAATTTTTTTCTGTGGTTTGGGCAAAGCTGATTGATGGATGAGTAAAATCATTTTTTTGATGTTTAGAGAAAGAGACAACTCTTAACGAATAGCTCATACTTTCCATAAATTTGACGTAGTCGATAAATTTGCACCGAAGCTCGTACACAATATTATTGTAATTATCATTATTGAACAAGCATTTCTTTTCAGTGAGAGACTCCAAAATTGTGATCAGAGATTGCAAAGATTTCTGGTAGTTGTCTGCACTGTAATCGTTATTTTTGCAGAGGTCAAAACAAGAATAATTAGCATTACCTAGTATGTTGTTCATTCCAGCAATGACTTCGTACGCGTTGACGAGCAGCGAATGCATTAGTGTTTCGTAACTAGTAACGATTTGACTGTAGTTTATTTTTTTTTCAATGTACAAAAATGACTCAGGAGTGCTTGCACAATTACGCAAATACTCAGTAACCTTTTCCAAACAAGCTTGACGGTGAATTTCATCAATAAAAATGCATTGAACAATACCAGATAAGTTGTAATACAAAACTATAACTTCGTCGGTTTTGTTTGCAATGCTTTCAGAATCTAGAATTTCGTTCAGCTTGTCATTAATTTGTTTTTTAATTTTAGTTAACAAGTGTTCAACGTGCCCGTTGAGCACTTGATTAAGACAGTAAAACTCGAAAATAAGCTTTTTTTGTATTTCGTGAGAGATTTTATTATATCCAGCAAACAGCATTTCAATTAATTGTTTTTGAAAATTTAATAAAACCTCTCGTGCGATAGACATATAATCGTTTATTGAGTAGTTTTTATTTAAGCTCGAGACTCGCGAAGATATTTCTTTGATTTTCGAAACAAGAAAGTAGTTATCTTCATTTTTTGCAATACAAGCAGAGCACGTTTCTTTTTGGTTGCATAAATTGTGATCGAGTTCATAGTCGTTATCAGTTCTAACTAAAAATAGTGAATCCATTTAAATCTTTAATGTTGCATACTTTGCCTATACAGATTTACATACCAAGGTGCACATTGCTGATGCACACATCAGCTGCGGGAATACCTTATACACTAAATCCCGTTATTTAATATATAAATAATAGAATTTTTCGTCATATTATATTAGATTTATTTTTATCAAATGCTATTTTCATAATCGAAATGGTGCTGCCTTCTCAAATTATTGCAACTAATTTAAATGACGAGCTATTAGTTGAATTAAAAAACGGAACGGTTTATACGGGGAAACTCAACAACTACGATGCCCACATGAATCTCATGTTAAAAAACGCTTATATGACGTCTACGAAGGGAGACACGTTCAGCTTCACTGACGAAGTCTACATACGAGGAGTGTCTATCCGGTATCTCCGTTTTAAACCAGAAATAGCGAACAAAGTAGAGGCTAAGATTAAGTCTCAAAAAGCAGAAACCTCTAATAATATTAAAAATAGTGCAAACATGCGTTCAACAACGCCAGCTGCGCCCTCGCAACCCACTCGCGGGCGAGGCAGGCCCAATAATCCAGGAACTAACATAGATACACCCCATAGTCGTTCCCGCTCTCGCTTTCAACCAAATTCATCCACTACGACTGTTACTCGGACCAGAAGAGGTTCCGGTCAACGTCAACTATAAACTATTTTTGTCCAGACGCCATCATTAACTCTAAATATGAAACTTTGACAATTCTGATCGTTTATTTATTCACCGATGTATTTTTAATTATACTTCTTACAAAACGACCAACGTATAGATGGTAATAAATTTTTTTATTGCAAGATAAATAAAATTGCGTTTTGCTTGTCAATCATAGAAAATTTATTTATTTATTTTTTTCACAGTGGTTAGTTGAAATGAATAATAAATTATTTTAATTTATCTGAAATACGGGATTTCGATTTATTAATGGAAAAATACTAAATAAAAGTAGAAGTACCTCTAGATCACACAAAAACAATTACTTTCAATGAATTACGACTGTTATAGCAAAAAAAACGTTGTTAACACTGGAACTACGATATTTGCTTTTAAATACGCCCAAGGCATAATTCTGTGCTCCGACGGGCAGATTGGTATGAGTACTATCATTACCAACAGATATGCACACAAAATAATGCATGTAATCGACAATATCTACGTTGGTACAAGCGGAGAATCGGCGATTTTGCAATATTTCGTGCGAGCTTTGCGCCAATCACTCGAAAAAAAAAGAGCTATTCAGTACGACATTCAGTCGAGCCATAACAACATTCTTGCCAGCGACGTTGCGAATTTAACATACAGAATTTGCTCGAACAATCGATATTTCGTTGGTACTGAGTTCATAGTTTGTGGGTTCAACAACGCTGACGCGTCTATTTACCACGTCGCTATTCCTGAACTACTGATAAATAAAAACACCATCTGTATTGGCAGTGGCGGTGACATTATCAGGTACAATTTAGAGGAATTTCATAAAGTCTATCCAGTTTTGAACGAAGAAGAAGCGATAAACCAAGCTAAAAAATTTATGACTAATTCTCACGAAACGGACATCCTCACTGGTTCTGTCATGCGATATGTGTTGATTAAACAAGACAAGGTTAAGGAAGGAATCGAAGTCCTTGATTAATCATTGTTAATGGAGTGAATTGATCAGTTCTTCGTCAGAATCGTTATCTAAAATTATATTTGAGTTTCCTTTTTGTATCAGTTTTTTTAATTTCCGCGTTCGATTTTTAGATTTTTTTTCGCTGTTCATGAGATCCTCTAAGTCGGCCAAATTTCTTTGCATAGAAAGTTTGGCTTTCGTATGTCTACTTAATTTTTGAGTGGTCTTTGTGTTTTTTTTGACTGTTTTTTCTTTTTCTGCTAAACTCTTTCTAAGTTTTCGCTTTTCCGCGATCATGTTGAGCTTAGCCTGATCTTCTTTTCTTTTGACTTTAAAATCTAAATCGTTAACCTTTACAGACGGATACTCATTCAACTGGTGCTTGGAGATTTTGTTGATAAAAGGAATTTGGAACAACGCATACATGAGTGCTAACGATTTGACGTTCATTTGCCTAGATACAAATATAAATCTCAATCTGGCTTGCTGGTAGGCGCGATAATGGCTTACAAAAGCTTCTTTAGCCAGTTGATGAAACAACACGTCATTAGTATAATGGAATCGAGTCGTGTTTATCAGTACATTCAAATCAAAGTTAAACAACAGAAACGATCTCTCCGTGTCTATGTGTGCCAACTCGACAGTTTTGTCGCCAATTACCAAGGAAGGTCCTGTGTATGGCTTTTCAAGGTTCAAGGGCACAGGAACAGATTCTACGAACAATTTTTGCCACTGTTCTGGTGAGGTAAGCTGGGTAAGAGCGTTGTCGCTTTTCTTTATGTACTCAATGTATGCAGCTTCGTTTTCGTTCAAAAACAATAAATTGCAGCCTTTCTTCCCAAGTCTAGCAGTTCGGCCGCTCCGGTGGAAATAAGCAGAACCGTCATAAGCAGGTTCAAATTGCACAACTAAATCAACGGACGGAAAATCAATTCCACGAGCTATCAAATTTGAAGCTAGCAAAATATGGCAGTTTTCTTGGGAAGCACTGGAAGCCATTATAGCTTGCTTTCGTTTCGCTTTGTTAATCTTACCGTGAATCTTTCTGACTGTAGCGTCTAATTTATAAACCGTTGTCAACATTTTGTAGAAATAATCGACAGATTTGCAACAAGAAAAAAAAACAATTATCGAATGAAACTTCTTATTTTTGCATAATGAGACAAGAACAGGAAGTCTAAATTCATAACTCACAAAAGCAAAGTAATTTTCTAAAGCGCCAGGAACTGCGTGCTGACTCGGTTCGCTTTCCAACAACTCAGACTTTTCGACGATCGAGTTCACTGAAAAGTTATACAGTCTGTAGTTTTGTAAGTGGAAACAGGTGAAAGATTTTATTTGGTCGGTGATAGTAGCGCTAAACAAACCGATTCTCGTTTGTTTGCTAATAAAATTAAAACAAGTTTTTACCTGTGCTAACTGAGATTGCTCAGAAATAATCATGTCTGCTTCATCTAAAATTACGATCTGCAAATTCTTGAAAGAAAAGTCCACAGAAATTTTCAAATAGCTGTCAGTCTTGTTATTTTCCAGATGCGTTGCAAGCCTCCCAACTGTTGCTACAAGGAGAGTTAGAGACTTTGATGTTTGTATAGCTGAAATTTTCTGGAAAATCAATTTATCAACTTCGATTTTTCTACTGCCAAACAAAGCAATCGAAAGAAGCTTAACAGTTTCATTGTCTTTATTAAAAAAACTCAGTAATTCGACTAGAATTTCGTATACCTGCTGAACTAGCTCACGAGTCGGTACAAAAATGATGGAACCCAGGTAGACACAATTTTCAAATGCCTCATACGTGAACCAAGAATCGTCTTCTTCGTGCAGCTTTAACCATAGCCGCTCCACTACCGGAATTAAATAAGCTAGAGTTTTCCCCGATCCTGTGCAAGATTCTACAATGACATCCTGGTTTCTCAACAGACCTGCCAACAAGAATTTTTGAACTTGGGTGGCATAAACAAAATTTTTAGATTCTAGAAAAGCCAGCGTTTGAGGCAGTAGCTGTCTGTCACCTACTTTCAAATCCGAAAATTTTTCAGTTTTATAAAGCATAGGAGGACTGGTGAATTTTTCGCTTCCACTCTTCTATGACATTACACAAAATACTAATGAAAATTTTATAAAACAAAAAAAACTAAAACTAAGTGAAACTAGATAAATCAAAAATAATCACAAAGGAAGGTTAAATATTATTTGCCTTTACGAGCTTTTTTTTTTTCATTTTTTGTTTTTTCAAATTGTTCTAAATTTGAGATTAGTTTTTCATTGAACTCAGCGTTGCCCTTGCTAAGTTGAATTATTTTGTTTCCAACCAAACGTTGGTTGATCATGGCGAACTTGAATTCGTTTGGATTTTTTTTCGCAGCTTTTTTGGCAAGATTGATAAGGTATTCTTTTTTTTTATTTACGGCTTTGATTCGTTTCAAAAAATCATCATTTTTTTCTTGTGCAAATTTTTTTGTTTTGGAAGGATCGGCATTTCGTTCTAGATGTACTCGGCGATGCACTACATGACGAAGAGAACCTCCTTTTTTAGACATATATTTTTATTATGTTAATAAAAATTTTTTAAAATCAAAAATTATATATTCTAAAATATTATAGCTAATCTATTTCTGTATGAGCTAAAAGATATTGTCAGCTTTTTTTAAGCGAAAAATAATCGTATAGATTAATTTAAGCTTAAAGTTTGTCTAAATAATGAATTAAATTAAAATAAACACGACTCTAATTCATAGAATGTCGTACATAAGTTTACTTATTTTAATAACGACTTTTTTAATTTGAATGCTTAAAATAAAGAAGAATTATAAGTTAGTTATTTTTTTCTTTTTCATCAGCCAATTTGCAGCGGAAAAACATAATCTTTCCGTCGTCTCTTGTAATAATCATAAGGTTTCTTTGTTCTCTCATGGGCTTTTTACGTTTTGGTAAGTGCCATAAGTGACAAAACATACAATTTTTTCCATTAATACAGCCTTTATTCCAGTAAAACGCACAAGGTTTGCAGGAATATGGATGATTACTTCTGTAATCATAATATAAATCTGGTTTTGCAGTTTCATAAGTAGTAATGGTTGTAGGATGTTCAAGATTCTGACCTCCTTTTTGAGGCACAGAAGACGAGTCACAGTTATTAGAAACACATTTTGCATCTTCATTAACTAAATATTCTCCAAGTACAGCTTGTGCCATGTGAGATGCGTATACTACTTTGACCGGTTCAGATTTGGTATTTTTATTGACCCCATCGTTGTTGTCTTTGGAGAAAAAGTTATAAAGATAATCTTCCATAACTAAGTATGAATTTAGATCGAAAGAACATCCAGAAACTTCATTCAAAGAAGCACTCTCAGTCGTGCTTGGAGTGATAGCGTTTTTACATTTTGGTGTTACAAATTTACACGCTTTTGGTGTGGTCATAATTTTAATGTTATCTCGTGTGGATCCAAGAGTGTAAGCGTTATTGTTGTAATGTTTTTGCTTGAAGTATAAAACATTTGGAGTCTCATAGGCGTATGAAACAACAGGAGTAGAATAGTCATCTAAGAAACTGTATTTTGAAGCATAAGAGTCCTTATATTGAGAGTCAGTGAAAAATGAATCCGTATCGTTACTAGATGATAAGAGAAGAGATGCCGGAATCGTATTCCACATATCATTTAAGGACTTATTATTCATGTAATCGTAATCATCTGAAACATAGTTATTTGAATGCATGATCTGTTGATTAATTTGGTTTTAATATTATGCACAATCCATGTAATGAAAAAATTATTTATTAAAAAATCGACTATAAACTATAATGTATTCTAGATTACGACGTCGTTTGTGTCTCAATATAAAAAACTTTATTTATTTATTTTTGTTTTAAATATATACATTTTTTTCGCAAATTTTTTTTCGACTTATAAATATTTGATGTTTTTTATCTAGAGTATTTTTGTACGTGGTCATTGCGTGTATGCTCTATTGAACATCTACATGATTAATTTCATTATTGTTTACTTTATTTTTTTAGTGTAATAGCTTCTTTTAAGGCTTGATCAGCTACTTGAATATTTTTTTGATCGAACTAAGATAATTTTCTTAAAAAAAAGATTACATAAAATAATAAAATCAACTCAGATCAAGAAAAGTTTCTCGATCACACTACTATGATTTTTTGGTTTACACGTAAAAGTTTTCATTAACAAGTTCTCCGAGGTTTTCCTCTAGGATTACCCAAATACTGTTACTATTGTGAAACACTATATTTGTTTTTGTGACATAAGTTGAATTTTTAAACTCACCAAAATTCGTTTAAAGGTCGATAACACCATTAATATATATATTCGAGCCTTCGACTTTTACATCAAAATAGAATGATGGAAGAACTGCAAGCCTTTGCTAAGGCAGGGAATAGTTCTTACTTAGAAAATATAAAATACTATACGAGAGAGAACTGTATAGATATGGGTTATTTACCAAACTGGACTTCGCCAAATTATTCGCCACGTACATATTTTGAAAGGCTATTCAAATCACCGTTAGCTATTGATTTGATGGCAGCTGGTAATTACAATCAGGCGGGCGGTTTTGAGCAAGTAACTGCCGACTGGGGTTGTGACTTTAAATCCACCTATGGAAAAGGAACCAAAAATATTGGTTTCTTCGGTCCAGGAGCAAAGGATCCCGCAGGAGGCGGTTGTCCAAAAGGGCCAGTTAAAGTCTATGAGGATTTAGTGTGTGCAATACAACTTGGTTTACGATCAAACCCTCAAGCTTTTAAAGAATTTTGTTCGACAGAACTTTCTGAAGAAGAAGGTATGTTCGAATGTTTAGCTTTTTTTGCCAATGTCCTTATTGAAACTGGTTCATTCTCGCAAACTGAAGAAAGAGATCCACGGCCGTACTGTTGGAACCGCGAAGCAAACAACAAAGAATGTTGCCCGGCTAAAGATCATGTCCCTTGTATGCCAGACTCAGATAAACCACTTGATCCAAGCAAATTCCCAGCTAATCCACTTCAGTATTTAACCGACGCTCCTGTAGAAAAAAAATGTTGTTCTTATCATGGAAGAGGTTTTCTACAAATATCATACGAACCAAATTATAAAGCGCTTTCAAGAGCTATGTATGACGATGAAACAGTACTTTGGCATCATCCTTACAAACTTAGATCGGATGGTATTATGGGCTGGACTGCTGCTTTATGGTTCTGGTTTTTTGAACATAAAGCTCAAATAAATTCAGACAAGACTAAACCATTAGAAACGTTAAGTCCAAGATCTCAGTTGTTGAAATGGCAAATAGGAAAGGGTTTCCCAGCTACTATTGCGATGATAAACGGGGCCGAATGTAATGGAAGTATGGATTCAAAAAAAGCTGCGGAAAGAACGTCGGCATTGTTTACTTTAGCTCGCAAAATGAATGCCAAACCACCAGTTACAAAATCAGAAACGCCAATAAATTACTATCCATTACCTGGTACGAAAGAGTGTGAAGATTTGCTGTGGTGTCGTAAGCAATTCCATAACACTAGTAGTGTTTGTCCAATTTTCAACACTGGATTCACGTGTGCTTTGGAAGAACCGATAATATTGAATGTTTCTACGCCTATGGGTTGGAACAGGAAAATTATCAAACTAAGCAAATTCAATTCCCCAGATACAATTTGCCGATTTCAATACACTACAAAGGACACTTCTAAGATTTGGCAACAGCCAACCAAAGATATTCAGATTTTAGATGAATGGTGGAAAATGCTCGACATTCATGTTGAAAACGTTTGTGATATGGCTGAACTGTACTACTTCGATCCAAAAACTGCTATATACTTACCGGGTGACAATAATAAATGCCAGAAAGTTTGGTGGAAAGACTTTGCTGACAAAACCTGTAAACAAATTGAGCAAGTCTCTGGAACAGCGCAAAAACCGTGTAAAACTTTGGCTGAATATGTTTCAAGACCAATCCCAAATAACAATTTTGAAAGTGGTAATATGAACAACTATGTGAATGGTGTCATTAAAGGAAGATGTGGTCCGGGCTTGGTAAAAGCCATGAACACTGAAGCTTTTAATGATCGAGAAGACAGTTTATGTTATTGGTTCGGTGGAACTGCTTGTGGCTGGACTGTAACAATTGGTACACATCCTGATCCAAAATATGATCCTCACAACTGCCGAATTTATCCAGCTGACGTAAATAGAAAACAAATATATGATACTTTAATTCACAAAAAACACAAATACGAATTAGACCATCCTCACGATCGGCCAGAAATCATGAAGAAAGTACTCAAATATTACGATGAATCTAATTGTAAAGAGTTCAATAACCAAACAGTGTTAGAACAAATATTGGTTAACAAAGATCTGGATCTTGATTACTTATTATCTGGATATTACAGTGGCACAGATGGATTTGCCAATGAAAGATGGGATAGTTATGACCAGCTAAGAACAAATAATAACAACGTCAAATACGGGTTGAAAGGACCAAAGAATATGTGGAAATCTATGCTTTGTGCTTATTACTTAGGTGTACCTAACGATCCTAGTTTATTCAGAAGAGAATTATTTAGAAGATCAGGAAGCCAATCAGTAGAATTGTCCGAAGATGACATTGATTTTGCGAAACTCGAACTTATATCTTTTTTCGCAAATGTAATCAAAGAAACCGGAGCTTTAGGGCAAGCTGAAGAACAAGATCCTAGAGCCTATTGTAATTGGCAAGGAGGTTCTGCAAATAAATGTTGCGAAAACTACTGGGGTAACAATCCACCGTGCGTTGACCGAGGGGAAATTACACCTTCAATCCGAGAAAGTGGATTAACAACACAAGCAAACTGTTGTAGTTACCACGGAAGAGGATTCCTTCAAACCTCTTATGAAATAAATTACGGAAACTTAGGTGCTATAATGTTTTCCAGTGACGAATATGGTGTTTCTAAAGAAACAGGTCGTAGATTGATGATCGACTATCCTCAAACAATTGACGCTTTTGGAATTACAGGATGGACAGCGGCCTTTATTTTCTGGTTAAAAAAATCACCTTGCTTATACTGTAACGAACGTAAAGCTGACATAATCGACTGGAATGCTAAGCAGTATTCCCCACATGAAGCTATGCTGAAATATGACTCACCAGGTGAAGGTTTTGGTAAAACAATAAATATTATCAACGGTATGGAATGTGAGGCTAAAATGAGCTGGGAATCGCCCATAAGCCAGTTTGGTGCGCAAATGCGATTAGCATTTTTGTATAATCTTGCTTACAGATTCCAAGTTAAAGCTCCTGGGGAGAAAACAATTCTTCCACTTCCCGGAACACGCGAGTGTGACGAGAGTAAATGGTGTAGAGGTACTTTTGGACCGGTCAACAAAGGGAATTCTAACAGAATTACAGGTAGTTGCTGGGCTATTACGCCTCAACCATATTCGGAAAATGAGCAACTATGGACTTATTGTATACCCGGTAAAGAACTAGTTAACATAACTACTAAATACAGCATTAATATGAAAATTCCTTCGTTTAGTATAGAAACTTCAGGACAGTGTGTTCAACAAAATATGTTCAAGTGTGGTATAAAGGCAATAGACAAAAACAACAAACCTTCTATGTTTACTAACCCGGAACTGAAGGCATATGTCGTTCCTCCGAAAAAACCAGTCGAATGGAACAACTTACTTTTCCACAAAGCAAAAGACATGACCACAAAAGACCTATGTTCTCATGCTTACGACATTTATGATACTAAATTCCCGAATGACAGAGACTGTGAATGGTGGTGTAACCAAAGCTCCGGAGGTGGTACTTGTAAAGAAATGAACCCCGTAACGTGTGAAGTCGCTCCTACCGGTTTGGCCTTTGTCAACTGTGTCAACGAGTTTTTCAAAACTTTGACGGAAACTAAAAACTGTGTAATCGACTTAAATCATAAACGTAAAGAGAAAAAAGTAATCATTACAAAAAAAGGATGCACACAACCGAACTGTTCTAAATGTATTTCAACATCGAACAAGCCATATGACGACGAACACTGTAAACCATGTATTTATGGACGTTTAGGTGACACTTGGCCTTGTGCATTAGAAATGTGTAAATGTATCGAATTCAAAGACCCGCCAAAAACAAAACCTTGTGATGCAACTTGTAAGATTTGCATATCATCCAGCGGTAAGTCGTGGGAAGATGATCAGTGTGTAAAATGTGCCAACGGTATGAATCGTCGTGAATGGCCGTGTAATTTGCCAAAATATTGCATGTGTGGCGACCAATCTTAATTGGTAAACATTGTTTGAGTTTTTAAACAAAATGTCGTCTCCTAGTCTATTTTTTGTGTATAATTCAACACATTAATATAATCAAATTTTTGTACAAAATATGTGTCAGGAAACATGTAGATACAAATATTATTGTTTTTTTAGCGTGTGTAAATTACAACCAAAACGAGACAACTATGTCGTTACTTGATATTTTCAAACGAAACAAAAACAAAAATGAAACGGTTACAGAAAGACAATACCAGGACAGAGATCCTGAATCTTATGGTGACGTATTGAAAATTCCCAAAGAAAGGCAGGAAAGTCAAATAACCTTTGCAGCCATGATGATTGGCTCGCATTTACATATTAAAATTGAGCCCAACGAGGAAAAATATTCACTTGTGTAAAAATACCTCTCCCAACATTTTAATATGCCAGCATTAAATGCATCATAAAACGTGTTTTCAGACTTTGTGTACCAAAATATTAAATATCCTGTTTATAATTGCAAGTAACATATCTTAAAGTTTAAACATAAAATGAAGAATAATAACATAAATATTATAACTTTTACAAAACAAAAAGCTATTGATCACTTATATCCATAGCGTCAACAAATACCGTTAAATAATTAGAATTTTGGTTGTCTGATTTGACTTCTTCAGATTTAATCTTATTATCGTTAAAACTAAGTAAATATACAGCACACTTGTTGCCAACGACGAAAACAGTCGGATAGCCATAATCAGAAGCGGTTTTACTCAAAAACCTTACTTTAACATTGAAAGTTTCAAAAGAAAAAGAGGCTAACAGTTGAAATTCAAATTCATTTTTTTTTGTGTCGTAGGAAACTTTTAAAATAAAAATTTCGTGTGAATTATTCAAAAACCACAAATGGTTGTTAGAGTAAGAAAAGCTCTTGAAGCAGAAACGATCTTTAGACACAGTCCAACTGTTACTCACACCCGTAACACAATTAAACGCACACAAAGATTTTTTAGCCAACCAAAATAACTGGTCGCCGTTGGTATTCCATTCAAGAGCCATAGGAATGTTGAAAAAATTATTTATGCTATCTTGCTGGTAATAAACTTGTTTATAAGGCAGCTTTTTTTCTGCTAGCCATAGTATTATATTTCCAGACTTGTAGAGTACGCCAAACAAAGAATTAAATGCTGGATTTTTTGCAACCACGTTGATATTATCGTTGATGACTATATTTTTACTATTTCTGCGAGCAAAGGTAGTACTGGTCAATACTTCCAAAGATGGGTAATGGTACACATTAACAATTCCTTTTTCGTAGATTGCAATAATACATTTACTGTTTTCAAACGAAAAGTACCTAACAAATAAAACGTTTCCACCGTCTTCACTGACTTCTATTATTCTACCCGTTTTAACATTCAGGACGCGTATAAATTCATCACCACAACCACATACGATGACTTTCGGAGAAATGGTATTGATACATTTAATAGTACTTTCGTGCAAATTTGCTCTAACTACTTCTTTTTCTCTTTCAGGGTCACTTTTAAGATTACACTCAATCTCCCCGTTGTAATATCCACAAAACCAAGAATCAACATTCAGATTTTCCATTTATTCAGATTTGGTTTTTTTGCATTTGTTAGGGTATAAACAAAAGTGAATTTTTATTTGGCGATAAGTAGCTGTTTATTCATTTATTTTTTTACAAAATATTTATGAATTTCGTAATAATATTTCAGATTTGAGCCGCTGAAAAAAAATAATGAAAATTTAAAAATAAGAAATATCATATTCTTTTTTGCATTTTGCTTGGCAACAATTATTATTTATTAAATTTGTTTCTGAAAATTTATTCGTTTGTAAAATTTCTAAAGGCCTTTTTCGATATTCGAAAATTAATTTAGGTGCTTTTTTGTTACACAACGTATATAACCGTTCATAATCAGTAGCAAGACTACGAATATATTTGTGACACTGTTTAATTATTTTTTTGTATTTGTATATCTGTTTGGGATCACAATTGAGACGTTTCTGGAAATCAGAACTTGAAATTAATTTGTTTAAACTTGCGTTTTGTTGTTTCAATGCGTTATAGTCTTGCCAAAATTTTTGATATTTTTGGGTTATTTCAGTACAGCTAGAGCATTGGTTTACTCGACACTGTTCTTGGCCAAAAGTTTGCGTTGTCATTATTCGAATTTTTTCTTCATACTTTTGCATTTTTACGAACATATTTTTGTTCATTTCTAACAAATCGTTGCATTTGCTTTTCAGTATTTCGTGATCAATTTCTATTTCTTGACTCGAACTTATTTGTTGTTCTTGTTTTTGAAGAATTTCATGAATGTTAGTCAGTTCTGCTTGCAAACATAAGTTATATTGTTCCTTAATGCTTAATTGATGCTCAAGCATCATTATCTTGTCTTGAAGTTTGAATATAGAGTCTAAATCATTTGATTTCATCGACACTAGTTTTGAGTGCACCCGTGCATGTAATAATTTGCTGTTGGTAACTAGATTTTCATTTGTTTCAGATATTCTACTTAGTTGAAACAAAAAACCGTCTAGAATATTTTTTTTATTCCACGAGTTCAAGAAACTTGAGTTTTCATTGATTAAGTTTATCAGTAACATGTTGTTTACTAATGCAGCATCATGAATTTGTAGTATTGTGTTGACAATGGGCTCGATAGTCTGATCTGTAAAATGGACCGTACTAATAATGCTCGTCAAAGTTTTCGATGTAACATTGATTGTATCGGCACTTTGTTTGATGTAATTCAAAGTTTTGCCTACGAAAATCTGAAAGCTATCAAACAAAACTTCAGACGAATTTTTTTTTGAAGTTATGGTAGTCAACTGATTTTGATATTCTAATATATTCGGCAAACAAACAAAACCTTTTGGACAGTCTATTTTTGAATAAACATAATCGCCAGAACCTGGCTGATATTCATGCGGAATTTCGTCTATTACATCAGCTAATTCATTATATTTTTGGATTGTTTCGACCTGTGCGTTTTGTTGTTCAGAAATATTTATATTTTCTGCGTCATCTTTTTTAACTATTTTTGATTCTAATTTTTGAGCATCAGTTGAATCTTTTTCAATAACGACACATGTTGTTTCCGCTATTGAAAGTGATGAACTATTTGTATTTTCGTTGTTTATGCCAGAGAAATTTTTGATTTCAGATTTTAGTTCGTTTTCACAATTATTTATTGACGTATCAAACAGTTCAATATGTTTAATAGTTTCAATTTTGCGCACATTATTTTTTTGTGAGATATTGTCATTGTTTTTCACCAATATATCATTTAAGTTTTCAGAACTCTGTTGCAATTGTGTATCATTTTGACTGCATTTTAAGGATTCTATTTCTTTTTCATACTGTAATAGTTTTTTTTTTAAATACGCGATTTTAATGTCTTTCTTATTCAGTTCATCATTAAATTCTAGTATAGAATTATTTGAAATAGCTATATAATTTGCATCTTGTGGCACATCCAAGATATTGTGTTCAGATAAAGCCTGAGTTACTGTAGTTTGATTCATAGAATTTTGCATTTCGGTTTTGTTGTTAAGTTCCAATAGGCTAGAGTAGTTTTGCTCTAACATTTGCATATCGATTAATAAATTTGAGTTGTTTGTGGTAAGATCGTTCATCTTATTTAATAGACTATCAAAAATCTTTACGATGGAATTTGAATTCAGATTATTACAAGCAAATTTTAAATTATTTGTTAAAAAGTCGTACGATTCAGCGTCCGTTTCGTAAAAACAAACAAATTTTTCGTATATTAAATTGATGATTGTTATAAATTCTTTCATTACGTTGCTCACTTGTTCTTCAGAATTTAATAAATTTTGATTTAACTTAGTGAGTTCATCAGAAGTAATTTGACTCAATCTTAATAATGTATGTAATGGATTGGTAACATTTTCTTCCGTTTGAACATTTTTAGATAATTCTTGAATTGCTAATTCAACCACGTTGAATATTTTTGTTATTTCACTACATACATCATTAGTGTGATTTGCCAAATTGAAAGATTGATTTACTGACGAGTCGTGAATAAAAGTTTTTGACTCAGTATTTTTGGAAAAATTGCTTTCCACCGTTGAATTATACGCTGAAGACGTATTAGCAATATTGTTTGGATCGTTTAAAATACTATCTTCTGTAGTACAAGATTTGTTTATAAAATCATCAACTTTGTCATTTAATTCATTGCATCCACTTTTAAGCTTTCTTGGGCTGTTATTTACGCCAGCATGTGTATTATCAATTGATGGTTGTTCAACCATCAATCCAGTTTGATCAATCTCAGTCTGAACGGGCCCTGTATTATCAGCCAATGGCTGCTGAGAAATGCGTTCAGTTTGAACACATTGTGTATCATCAGTTGATGGCGGTTTAACAGTAGGTTCAGATTGAATTGGCGGTGCATTATTGGCTGATGGCTGTTTAACCATGGGTCCAGCTTGTCTCGTCTCTGTTGAAACAGGCTGTGTATTAGATAAAAGTTGTTCATTAGTCAAGTTAATTTGCTGATTTATTGAGTCAGTATTTAGCCATTCTGCCTTAGTTTGGTTATTTTTATCATTAAAACTTTCGTTCGTTGTTTTAGGTTGTTCATCATCAAACGTTTTAATTATTTTATCATCTAAATCGACTTGTTTATTTAAAACTGTCTCATCTATCGTTGTAGTATTAACAGGTTTTGATTCAGTATGTTCGATTTTAGTTTCAGTTTGTTTATTTTCTGAATCATTTTGTTTATGTTCCAATTTAATATTTTTACTTTCGCAATTAATTTGTTCAGTTTTTGTCTGAGTTATTTTATTACGTGGTTCAGATTGTTTAGCTTCGAGGTCTAGATCTTCATTCATTATTTCAGCTTGATTATTTTGCGACTCACTGTCAATTTTAGTTTTTTCAGAATTTAATGTGGATTGTTTTTGTCGTGTTGCAGATTCATTTATCGCATTTGTTAATTTTGATCTAACATTTTTTATTTGGGTAGATGCTACCTCACTTGATTCTTCTGTAAGTTTTTTTTTTGACGTAGCAGTAGAATTTTCCTTACTATTACTATCGTTGACAGAGTTTGCTGCCAACTTAGTATTGCAATCTTTGCTTGTTAAAACGTCAGAATCTATAAAATTTTTAGCTTTATTAGAAACTTGATCTTTGTTCGATTTATCACTGGAATTTGTTAAAGTCTCCGTAACTGTATCCTTTTTTTGGCTTTTTTCTAGTTCATACTGATCGATGAAAAAAACTAAATTTTGCTCATTAGAATTGCTTTGAGGTGCCTCGGAAGCATTTGAATTAACTTTATCTTTTTTAACATCATCAGGCAAGACTGCACTTTCACCATCATTTTTGTCCGGACTGTTATGCAGTGCATTAAAATTATTACTTTTATTAAATGCAATGTTATCGCTTGTTGAATCGTTCAGATTTTTTTTAACGTCTCGGCTTGCGTTTTTTTCATCAGAATTAAACATTGAATCAGATTTATTTTTACTTTCTATATTAATACGATCAAACATAGATTTATTTTTTCGATTAGTATAGCTATCATTGAAAATTATGTCAATTTTATTTTCGCATGCTTCTAAAACATCACTCTCATTCGACAAGTCAAAAAAAATAAGACTTGATCTCGAACTTTTAGTTGAAAAATATTCACATGAAGAAATGCTTTCGTTGACTTGTATATTTAATAAAGTAACCCCGCCTTGATTTTTTTCCAAAAGATCCTGTTTAACTTCTGAAGTAATTTCTTTTATGGAGTTATAATTTATGTCTTCTTTTGTTAATTCTGCAGGCAAGTTGTGAGAGGGTGCTTGCTGTGAAGCTGGGTACGAATTATCGTTATAAATTTTTTCAGTCGTATTTGAACAATCGTCCCTACCTAAGTCTATACTTTCAACATGCTTTGACTCTTCAGTTTGTTTCGTTGAATTTTCTTCAGTTTCTAATAGTTTGTTCTGGCCAGAAGTTATTAAATCTACATTCTGATCAGAATGTTTGTTTTTTTTACTATTTTTCTTACTATTATTAATTATATTATTAGGTTTGCTTTTATACAAAGAATTAAAGATTTCATCAATATTTTGAGGTGTTTTTAGATCATTGGAAGAATTTTGCTTAGCTTTAGCTTGCTGTTTTTTAGCTTTTTTTGCCTTATTTTTTGTCATTAGAAGCAGTATTATTAATACAGAACTCTAAAAGGTTGCACCTTGAAAAGTTTACTTGACTAAAGAAACCATGATATGGCAAATAAAGTCATTTGTAACGGTTTTTAATCTTTATTCTTATTACGTATTTTTTTGTAATGCTTTAATTTCAGAACTTGATGAACAGGTTTTCAAATCAATTTTAAGAAAAAAACTACACCAGGAAGTAATTTTACTCACTCTAACTCAATTACATTATAATGTCCCTGTAAGTCACAACCGCCTAATTTTCAGCTTATAGATTTGTCGACAGAAGTTTGTAATGTTTCTAAACAAATAGTGAGTCATGATTTTTTAGATATGCAAATATCAGAAGAGGACGAACTGGACCGAAATTGTGTAGATGGTTATAACAAATTTGCGACATCTTTTAAAGTATTGGAGCATATTGGTATCTGTTGTGGTATAAATTATTACAAAAAAGTCACTAATGCCGAATGGATAAATTTGTCTGAGCATAGACAGTTGTCTGATGATATTATGTCCAAGATTTCAGATGAAGTAGGGGAAACTGAAAATAAACTGTTAAATGATATTGAAATAAATGACGAAATGCTAGCTAATTTCTTGACCGCTGATCAAGAAAATCAAATCACAAAAACAGATTCGGAAAACGAAGACTATGTTTTCATAGACCCAAATGTAGAAATCAAGCAACCTGAATTTCATTCAGACAACAGGCCATCGATATATAAATTACCCATTGATACTTATCCCAAAGTTACTCAAAAAATTAATTCGTATCCAGACAAAATATCATCGCAATTACCGAAAATTAACGTTGATAGCATACAAAAAAAGTTAAAAAACAAGCTGATAAGCAAACCAAAAAAATTAGGAGAGCTGGCGAAAAAAACTAAAACGAACCTAGCTATGATTTCGAGTAAGTTTCAGGTATAACAATTGTTAGACAAATTGAAAAATGTCAATAATGCCCATGTTCCAATTACCCAGATGACAAAGTCAATGAATAATTTGAGTCATAACGTGCTAGCAAACAAAGAATATATACAACAGCACATAATCCAGTCTTTTCCGTCAGTGCAAAACACGGGCAAACTAGCTGTAAGTTAATAATGTTTTATATCCTGTTAGCAATATGTAGCGGCAGGTTTGGTATTTTCTCATTTCTTATCGAATGTCATCACTAACAGTGACCAAGATGCAGATAAGCAAAGATTAACTCAGCCTCCGATCGTAAATTATCAGTTTATCAAAATTGAAGATAGACAACCTGACGACCATGCCAAACTCGATCAACTCATAAATGAGACTAAAAAAAAAATCGATGAGAATGTAAAAAAACTGTCAGAAATCGAATCTTTAAAGGCACAACTTATAGAAAATCTCTCTAGTTTCAAAAAAAAGAACAGGCCAAAAAACAGTCTTAATCTTATCAAAAAATTATCCAAACGTAAGGATCTCAAACTAAAATCTAGATACAAAGCGATTCTAAAAGACATGTTAATGAATAATCAAAATAATGCTTTTTTTACTATTGACAAAAAAATGCTAAAAAACACTTTGAAAAACGAAATTCGATCAAAATTAAAACTCATTCCTTTATAGTACTCAAAATTTAAAAGTTAAAAGAGGTTCAGACGAAGAACCAATCGGCAAAATGTTCATTTTGGCTTTTTGGTATTCCTGAGAAGCAAACGAGCGCGCGAGATTAGTTTGAAATTCTGAAATAGAATCTTTTAAGCGGTTAACGATTGATATTCCACGCATTTTGACTTCGCAATAGCCTTTAAGAGCCAATAATATTGGTTTGAACGGTTCAAATAAAGCATCGTTGTCTATTACCAGTTTTAAAAGTATATTGAACAGTCCAATAGAATCTAGCCACATTATATTGTTGACAATAGTTCCCTCCAACAATAACGTAAAAAAAACTTCAAGTTGGTCTTTTGTCAAGTTTGAGCAATACGAATGAAAATCTGAAACATGTTATTCGTATTAAACATACCTATTTTTTTCTCGAGCAATTTAGGAATGCAGTAGTTAAATAAAGCTTCGTCGTTGTAGGTTAAAGCATCGTTTAAAAATTCAACGCTCATTGTATGTTTTACAAATACTTTTATATTTATTTTTGGCCAAGTAAAAAATTGAATAGAGCGATTAGTTAAATATTAAACGTTGCTTGGATTGATAGAATTGAAATAAACGATTTTTTGTTTAAAAAATTTTTTTTTGAAAGTGAAAAGAAGACAAAAAAGTTTTCATTAAAAACGATCATATGAATGCTCAAGAAAATGAGGTAATTTGTTTGTTTGGAGGCTACAACGAAGTATATAGATTTAAGTTGAAAAAAAATGCAACTTTAAGCACTCGTCACGGCGTATTTCACGCAGAGGATATTATTTATCAGACTTATGGGACCACCATATACGCGAGGAACAAACCTAAAAAATCTTTAATTCTACTTAAGTTGACCGCTGAATTGAATACTCATTGCATTGATTATGTTACACAGATCGTTTATACCCATGATATTGCACTTGCTACTGTGTGGCTAAATTTGTTTAGTGGTGCGAAAATCATTGAAACAGGTACAGGCAGTGGAAGTGTGACTGTTTCTTTTGCCAGATCTGTTGGTTCAAACGGTCGTGTATACACGTTTGAAGCTAACTCTGATCGATACCAAAACTTCAGAAAACTAATCGACGATTTAAAATTGACAAATGTCGAAATTGAAAATAGAGACGTCTACGAAAAAGGCTTGCAACCCTCAGCAGAAGAATCAGAAAATTTTGCAGATGGTGTTTTTTTAGACTTACCTGAGCCTTGGAGAGTTTTGAAACATGTCAAAAAAGTGTTGAAACCGTGCTCTGTAGTAGTTTCGTTTTCTCCATCGATTGAACAGGTTTTAGAAACCAAAGAAGAAATGAATAGACAAGGTTTTCAAGATATTGAATCTATAGAAATAATCATGCAACCTTGGGGCGTATTTCCGCGTGAACAAATGGACGAGAAGCGTCGAAAAGTGCAGGATAGTCGTCAAAATTCTTTCAAAAAACCAATTTCATTGGAACTACCAATGGTCTTTGAAACTTCCCCTTTTGCTCTGTACGCTCAAGAGTCGTATCCACACACAGGATACTTGATCATGGGCTGTCAGCCACCATTGGATGAAGATGGCATCGACTTCTTGCCTCAAGACTCCAAGAGCAGACTTAGGGCTCATAATATAAAGGCAAATCCAAATTAATAAACTGATTCTATACTATAATTTATGAATGATACCAAATATTTAAAATAATAAAGATTTTCATTTACTTCTCGTTAGTGGAACTCGTGTTTGGGTTTTTTGATTTTCGACCTTCAAAAGCAGAGTTAATGCTTTGATCAAACGCATAAGGTAGGTTTTCGCCATTTTTTTCAAATGGGTCAAACACACAGGTGAAATCTATATCGGGGTAATCCAATTTAATTTGACAACCAACCTTAATTATAAAGTTCTCAATATCTGCAGTTTTTGAAGTGTTTGTCCAGAACTCAAATTTTGTTTGGTTCTTGTTGATGACCAAACGTAAACCTACAATTTTTGAACCTCCATCGTAATAGTAAGCTTCGCTTATGATACTAACAAGCAGCATGATAAACAACTCTTTGTATTCAGCCGGCTTGGACTTAGACTTGAAACTGCGTTGCTTGTCAAAGTTTGATTTAAGGTTGTCGGCCTGAGTTAGTTTAATTATAACTCGACCTCCATGTAGGAGATTTTCTACGGTGTAATCAGGCGTGTAGTTCTCACGAAAAATTGAATAGTCAATATTGTTGACTGACTCAAAAGGATTATTGATTTGATTCATCAAAGACCAAAATTCTTCAATTGTTTTCATTTCGTAACACTTAATTTGTGCCCATTCATCTTTACTTGATTTAGCAACATGTGACCTTAGAAAAAAAGTCCATCTTTAAAATATTTTTTGCTTAAAAAACGTACTGAGAATTTAATTCATGTTCTTGTAAGTTAGTCATTTAATAATTTCTGGCTCTTGTGACAAACAACTTTATTGCGAATTTTTATATTTTCTAATTATTCTGATAATTTAATTAATTATAAAAACATTTTTAATGTTACAAAAATTCATAAAGTTTACCAAAATAAATCTAAGTTAGTAGTTAGTTATAGCCTTATTGCATGGGGAAAACAACTGAACCTGTGCTAACCGTGATTTTGGGTGTAATTAGCTTGTTTGACAAACTTTCCGGAATGAATTCTCTGCCGATTGGCTGGCTGATTCTTTTATGATACACGGTAGCGTGAGTGTAACCCTCAGGCAATTTTTTAACCTGATATTTTTCATTTAATTTATTGTAGTCAGGATTGATAATTACATTTCCAAATTTATTTATGTCTTGTTTAATTTGGGCTGCTTTTTTTTGGAGGAGCTTGGCTTTAAATTTTTTTTGGTTTTTTGTGTACTTGGTTTCGTAGTTTTCACAACACCAGTTTCCCCAGCCGTCTGACGCGCTAGGCAATATTTCTGATATTTTTTCTTCTGCTACCTGCAGACTCTTGGTTGCTTGAAGTTCTTTGAACTCTTCCTCGTTGTTTGCATCTGCCAAATTTAAAGCGATGTTTATCAAATTTTTTTGATCGAGTCCAGATGAATCTTCGACCACGTTGTCATAGTCAATAATGTTTACGTCATTGATAACTTGTGGATCTTCGAGATTTTCAAAATCACACGTGAAATACGAAGATTTCTTTTTAATTAATTCTTCATTTTCTTCTGCTAAGAAATCGTCTAATAGTTTTTTTTGTTGCTTGCGTTTATTTAAAAATTTTTCACGGGCCTTACCGGCTTCGTCGGTAGGGTCTACAATCGATTGCAGCGTGTCTGAAACGTCTACTTCAGTCAAGGCTTGTGTTGATAAAGCTCCATCTGAATCCTTTTCATCTTTTTCAAACTTGTTCTTCAAAAAAGTCTCTATATTATTTTCGTTGATCTCAGTCTGCAAATAACTTGAGTCCTTCTTTTCTTCTTCCTGAAATTTCTTTTTCATGAAACCGAGGTTGTAAATTTTTGAAAGCTTGGGATTCAGAGTTCTATTTGACGCCTTGCTGTCAGAATTGTCAGTATCACTGGAGGAAGAATCGTCTTCCTTGTCGCTGGGTTCATCTGCTTTGAATTTGCTTATTTGATTTATAAGTTCTTTTGAGCGTTGAAATGCTTCTAACTGTTCATTAATTGTAGCTTTCATCGTTTTACCTCCAAAGCGCGAAGCTAGCTTACTCCATTCACGTCTCGCCTTGGTAGACTGCTGCATACGTAGTTCTGCTCGTTTCAGTTCGAATTCCTGGCGCAGTTCTTCCGCTTTTTCGGGGTCTTCAACTGCAAGGCGTTTCATTGCCGACAAAAATGACTCGTCGTTCCGCTTTTTTGATTTTTTCGTGTGATTTTTCGACTTGATGCGTCTTTTGTAAGCATTAAGACTGATTTCGTTGGAAAGAGCAATACGAGCGTCACGAGTCAGTTTTTTCTTTTTTTCAATTAAAATCTCTTCTGAACAAGGTAAAAGTGACTTTGCAGTAGCTTCTACATTGTTAAATCTCAACAAAATATCGTCGAGTTTGTTGTCGATATTGCCCGTTGCAATTCCGGCGTTACCAGCAAAGTTCTTTATAGTTTTAGCGTTAGGATTTGGATTGAAATTAATCGTTTGCCCTTCTTCGATGTTGGAGATCTCATTTACACTTTTGTTAAATTTGGATATATCTTTTTGGGCGTATAATAAAGCTGTTTTTTGCTCTTTGGTTGTTTTTTTGACCACGGATATGCTGGAGTCGATTATATTGGTGTTATTTTTGAGTGAGTCTATGTAAGACAACAACTCTGTGTTTTTGGGTGTTTCGCCAAGTATGTTCGTCAAAGAGAAATCATTTATCATGAATTCGCCGAACAATACAACAAAGAAAGTGAAAACAAAAAACTAAAATAATTTTGTCAAAATAATATTTCAAAAAAAACTTGAAATTCCTTTAAGCTTCTTATTTAGAAACCAAAAATAATTATTTATAAATAGTCAGAGGCGCTAGACTATTCTTTTTTTAACTATGGGAAAACAAAAAAAAAGCAATGCGGATAAGACTTTAGAAAAGATGACTAAATCAAACGTTAGTTCAACAAACAAACTTGTTAGTGATGAAAAAGTTCCAGCAAACGCTAAAGCTGATTCTTCCGTAAAAAAAAGCCTGAAAAATGAAAGAGTCACAGCTTTAAAATCAAAAAAAGATGAAAATCGCAAGAATGAAAAGAGGTCTGTCAGTGAGATTAACGCTCCAGTCGAATCGTCTAGTGATACGAAAAAAGTGAAGAAATCGCAAGTCTCGACGAGCAACGAAGTCGAAATTTTTGAAGAAGACAAAGAAATAATGGACAGCGTCATTAAAAACGACCCTTATTTGTTGGACGAAATCAAAACACATATGGAATCGAGAAATATCGTCAAGTGGACGAATAAACAAAGAACTCTTACCTTTTGTTCGAGAGGAGTGACTCAACATCACAGACATCTACTTCAAGACTTTCAAGCCATCATGCCTCACCACATTAGCGAGCCCAAATGGGATAAAAGATTGAGTCTCGAACACATAGTAGAGGCAGCTGAACTTAAAAACTGCAACAATGTAATGTTTTTTGAAGCTAAGAAATATGAACATCTGTATCTTTATCTGGTACGTTGCCCAGATGGTCCGACGGCGAAGTTTCAAGTTTTCAACATACACACAATGAACGAAACGCGCTTTCTCGGTAACTGTACTAAAAACAGTAGACCAATCATGGTTTTCAGCAAAGAATTCTCTGTCGAGCCGCATTTAGGATTGCTCGAAGAAATGTTTGTACAAATTATAGGTTGTCCTAAATACCACCCTAAATCATCTCCATTTTTTGACCATATCCTTTCTTTTTTCTACCTCCAGGGAAAAATCCTTATTCGACATTACCAAATTATCAGCAAAAAGCTAGATAATGTCATTGCAAATCAAGAACTTAGAGAGATCGGTCCTCGACTCGTGCTTGAACCAATAAGAATTTTCTCTGGCTGCTTTGGCGGAGCCACTCTGTGGAAGAACCCAGATTATAAAACTCCTACCGCTCTTTCGATCGAGGCAAAAAAAAAACTTGCTGAGCAAGCCGAAACGAGCTAAACAAGAAAATGAATTTTTCTAATAAAATAATTTAAAATTGATTATTGATATATGCTAATCACAGTTATTGAGTTATTTCTAAAAGTGTTTCTTTACAAATTCGGTAATATGTATTGAAACAGTCGTTAGCTACTTTTCTTATAAACTTTTTGATTTGTTCAGTCGAAAAAGCAGCTTTTTCTTCAATAACGGCATGGTCAAAACTGAGCGCAATAAGCGCAAGCAAAGGATGTGAAATAGTTTTCGAATTCAACACATGGTCGAAGATTCTTTGCAATGTAAGCTTAGCAGATTCGTTTAATTCGTCGTAAATGGGGTTAGTTTTTTGTTGTAACTCAGAGAAAAACAATAAAAGTGATGCTCCCTTGACATTAGATTCCAGCTTTTCCAATAAAATGTAAAGCGTCGATTCTAACTTGTCTTCTTGCACAGAAATGGTGTTGTCGTAATTGAGGGAACAGTCTAGCAAAAACAATATCAGTTTGAAAACATCAGCGAGTTCGTTGCAGTTTTCAATCTGAATATTTATCAACTGTGATATGGTGTCGCAATAATCCGAGTTAGCGTCTAAATTGGATTTTATGAGTTTGAAGAAGTAGTTATTGATGGAAAAAAAGTTGTAAGGGTTCGAAGAAACAAACAATTTGTTAATTGGAACTTCAGCTTTTTGTAGTCCTAATCCTGCGAAAATGTAAGCGAGTAAATTTTGTTGAACCGTTTCTGGTAAGAAATTCTTGATGTGCTCCAAGCAGTACAAAACCGTGGTGAGTCTGCTACAAAGCGCGAGAGTCTTAATCGAGTCAGGTTGTTTGAAGAAGTCTGGGCTGATTGCTGATGCAGTAAGAATGACAAAGTCCAGGTGATAAAAGGGAACCAAAAAGTATGTGTAATCAGAAATACGTGTGTCGATCAAAGGGATGCTTGTGATGGAAGAGTAAGAAGAAACCTGAGATATAGTTTGGATAACAGTATTTGCCAAGTCGAAAATGGTTTTTTCCTGATTTTCTACTAAAAGCTTGGCTTTGACTGCAAAATAAGCTACTACCCAGTAATGATTATGTTTCAGCGAGATAGTATCGAATTCGTTGAAAGAGAAATACCTAGTGATTGTGTTAGAGTGGTAATTTCTAGCAGCATTTAAATAAGTTTCCGAACAGAAATTCAAACCTTCTTCTAAACACAAAAATTCGCGTACCTGAGTTTTGATACAGTCTATCTGAAAAACATCTGGTTCGGCCTGGAATTGGTTCTGTAAGTCTTTTGTACGTTCCAAAAAAGAAATATACAAGTGTATGGAACTGGAATTGTAAGACATGTTCTGTAAAAGGTATTTCGTCAAGCCGACATAGCGGTCAACAAGTAACAACTCAGGAAATTCGAAAGATTCCAGTTTAAGTTCGCAACCTATGGAAATGCATCTGTATAAAACCTCGCTGTATTCTAAAAGCCATTTGTTAATTTGTTGCAGGTGTTTTTGGTTCTTAGTTTTGTTTGCGCTTGCAGAAATACACTCTTGGAAAAGAGTATACATGAAGACGTCGGTTTTGATTTCGTAATATTTTGGAAAAGCCACTAAACTTAACTGGAGAGCTATTTTAGCTGCAAATGAGTTTCGATGAGCTGTTTCGAGGAAGTCAATGGTTACAACTTGGACAAGTTTTTGGAAATCGTCGTTGTTGATTAACGAAATGATATTTTCATCGTCGTCGGAAAGAATCAAATGTTTTGTCAAAAACAAAAACAAATTAAGCGTAAGAGAATGAGCGTCATAATTTTTAGAGGCCAGAATTATCTTGTCAAACAAGAAGTTTGCAAATCGTATGAAAATAGATTTATCTAGAGTGGAAACGGAACCACTAGAATTGCAAAACAAGCAATCAATGACAAGTTTTGCTAAAGTAGAAGAATGCAAAGCAAATTGAACCAGGAGCCATAGGCAAGCGGAGATGCAGAGTTCGTTTTTAGAATAGATCAACCTTTTGCAAATCTCTGCAATAAATCCTACGCTAGACGTGTTCTGTCCCCAAAGAAGTAAGCTAGCCAAAGGATCGTCTGTGCGCATGTAATTTATGTCTTCTGCATCCAGATTTTCTTGAATAAATGCGAGTTGATTTTCAGAATTGAGGTAGTCAAATAGAAAGTTGGACAAATCGTTACCTTTGTTTGCGTTATCAACAGTGATATTGTCGTCGTTTCGCTTCAAACATCGTAAAGCTCGCATTTTGTCGGAATATTCGTCTGCATCGAAGAAAAAGTCGCTCATAGTAATTGATTTTGTTTGTAGTTTTGACTCGCGGTGAATGAAGAAATTGTTACTTGATAAGTCAGATTTTTCAAGAATTGAGAATGTGCTTAGTCCAAACAAGTAAGCCATACAAATCAAACAATGCTCCTTAACTTTGGTAGAGTTGGTACTGGAAATGAGGAACAAAAGTTTTTCGTGTAGCTGAAGGTATGAAAATAGGTAGTGGTCGAATTTAACCAAGTCTACAACGATATTTTGGTTTAGGCAGTCTTTTGGAACTTGGCTGTCTTCAAATGCTGAAGGGGTGTATCGGTTTTGCAATATATTAGACAAAATGTTCAAAGAGATTAAAACCTGGCTTTCGTTTTGGCTAGCCAAGTATGTTATTAATTGCGGAATTGAACGGCTTTCTGTCTGTGAAGACGCGTGATTAAAAATTAACACACCAGCATCAGTATCATCGGGAGTCGAAAGCTCGCCTTCATAGGTAAATTTTAAATTATTTATGGCGCCAATGAAATTCGGCAACGATACTGAATTGTTCGAAGCGTTATCTGAAGTCCAACTTAGCTTCTGAACCGTTTCGACAAAGTCTAAGTCGAAGTCTTGCTCAATTCCGTTCTTGTTGAGATCTATTTTAAGTTTAATTACGTTTTCGTTAATAGTAATGGGTTCATTAAAATCTGTTTTAGCAAAATAACTTTTAATTATATCTTCTCCACAATTTAAAGTGAGCTTGGATTTACAATATTCAGTGTTGTCAGTCTCGCTCAGTTTGAATACAACGTCGCCCACACACTCATCGCCTGATGAATCAGTAATATCTTCACAAGTCGTCGATGAAGCAAACAACTTGTTTGTTAAATCGTTGTCACATTTTTTACTATGGACGTTCTCTTTCTCGCTTATCCTTGCTGACGAAAATTTATTTTTGTTTATCATAAATTATCATTAATAAACTAAATTATTTTTATTAGAAATATCTTGAAAAAGTTTTGAAATCAAAAATTACTACTATCAAAAATAAATTCTTCGATCATTAATCTGTGATAATAAAAAATTTAGTTATTTTTGCTAAAATAATGCATTTTAGAAGTATTGTATGTTGATTCCGTCTTCAGATATTTCGTTAAGTTCCATTGTAGATTGCTTGTCTCATATTGACTCGACTATCCACGAAAAATTATCGAAAAACTCGTTGCCGGAATGTCTGACTGTAATAGCACATTCAATAAACATCTGCAATGAATCTTCATTATCTGTGGAAGAGTTTAGTTATTGTGTAAAGTACATTGAGAAACTAATATCCATATTGAACGAGTATTTATGTTTAGATTCGTTTTTATGGACAGATCGAATATTTGAGCTGTACGTATCATCAATGCACAATTACTGCGTACTTTCGAGAGTATATATTCAGGGTTGCGTTCTAGCAGCTATTTTTCATTGGTTACTTGAAAAACCCGAATTATTTAAAGAACTTATTGTCACTTTTACTAATGAAAAACTTGAAGGCAACGAAGAAAGCTTGTTGGATAACAACTCTAACGAACGATTGAACAACGCAGAATCTGTTGTTTTAGACAACAAGCATAAGCTGATACTATACTACTTGGATCACTACAACAAATGCATGTCGCAAATTCAATCTCCACATATTTCCCTGTATCTTCGAATGTTCATGACTGAAAAGTTTACAATCAAATTCAACGACATGAATCCAAAATTGAAAGCAGAAGTAATGTATGATTATTTGCTGGAAAATATCGCTACATGCTTGAAACAACTAGTTCGTCTCGAGTATTACAGTTTGAACGAAAATTTAGGCAGCATACGTAGGATAAACCATGTTTGGCTTTTGGAAAGCATTACGCGAATTTTCATTGGCAACTGCAAATCAATTCGTCAGTGGAATAATAGGTACTTGCCAGCTCTTCTACAACTTATTAAACAATCGAAAAACCTAAAGTCGATCGAGTTTATAGCGATGAGAATAGTAGAGTTTAGTGAATTTTTTCAGCTATTGTTTAGTGTGATCCAGCTTCTGGAGATACTGCCTAGCGCTTGCTTACACAATGATTTCTTCGAAAAATTAACAGTGGGGCTGTTGGAAAAACAGGAAATAATGGATGAAACTCTAGCGTCGGACGAAGAAACTAAACAGGCCGAGCTTATTGCATGTGGGTGTTTAGAATTATTTAGGTACATCGAGGAAAATCTAGGCAAGCTTGCTGCCTATATTGAACAGTTCGTCAAAGACCCGTCGAACCCTCATCAAATAATCAATAATTGGGGTTACTATTTACGATTTTTGGAGTTTTGTTCTAAGCGAGGGTATAATACACTAGACGCTTTGACTAAGTTATTGTTTACGTTCTGTTGCTCGTTTGAGGAGCTCATTGAACATTACAATTTGACAGCCATTTTTAGAAACAATAATGCAGATGATGACCAAGAAATAGAGGATAAACCAGCAACTATGGATGAAGTTAACGCGGTCTGGAATGAAATACAGGAAAAAAACGCTCGAAGCGAAATCGTTAACTCGCTTGCGAATATGTGCAAAAATACAATTTCCAAGTTTGGCATAAAAGAAAAAAATATCGCAGAACTTATCGATCGCATTTTCCAATTTATTTACAAACCTGAATCTGAGGGCAGGATAATCGGAGCGATCATCGAAGGAATAGTGGAAAACAATATGGTCGCAGATGTAAGCATCTTGTTTGAAGTTATTAGCTTGCATATACAACCTGCTCAACTCGAAAATCTATCGCTGTTGATTAATTCGTGTCACAGTTTGCCTCTTCGCGAGCAGCAAAAAATGTTTTACTTGTTCAGCAGTATGCAAGAAATTTCCAGGTTTCAAAAGTTCGACTTATGTTCTGTGTATTACGACTTGGTTACGGCTTGGATAAAACTGATAGAACGTAATGTAGAAAAAATCGAATTTAATAGTCTGGAAAATAAAAGCCAAAAAGAAGAGGATAAGGGTTTTGAAATTAAACACGATAATACTTCTGATAATCAAAAATCAGATTTTACAGAAGTGTCTATTGCACAAAACCAAAATGAATGTTCCGATAATGCTGCATTTAAAAACCCAGTTAATGATGGTTATGACAGTTTTGGCGACGAAGAAATGCCAAAACAGACTGATAATAAACTCACATTGCTCGCAACTAATTCTACACGAAATTTGAGTGATAATGGTTCGCGTGATTCTGAGGCCTATTTGACAGAAGCCGAGGTTCAGCAAATAATAAAAGAATGTTCCAAATTAATTATCTTGATCGAATACACGTGTCTCTCAAAAAGCATCGACTCTTGCATTTACGTAGCTAAAGTAGCGTTGAGATATAACTATGAAAATATTGTCAAAACATTTTTATCCAGAGCTATTTATAACTTCGAAGCCCGTTTCTTAACAGTATCGGAAGAAATAGATATCATAAAGAGCTTCCTCGACTTGTTCACTTCTAATGATGTGAAAGTGCCGAGAGAAGACTTCCTCAACTACTTATCTCGAATTTACCACAAATGTAAAAGCTTGCTAAACGACGAAGACAAATGCTTCTTTATTGTTAAGTGTGCATTACTGTTATGGAAAAACAATTTTACAGAGGAAGTAGACCAGTGTTTCGCTCAGTGTAGAATGATATTGGCTGAATCTTATTTTCTCAAGGAAAAGTTGAAGGATAAACTACGCGAATTATTTGTTGAAGCAAATTATTTGAAAACCGACTATGAATTGAAAAAAATGTTTGACGTTAATTAAGCTGTTAAACTCAAGGGCTTATCTGATGAACACTTTTTGTTTTCAGACTCGGAAGTTTGTCTGTCTTTAATGTATTTAATGTGTTCAACGAGGTTTTCGACTTTGTTTTTGCAGTTGCTGTAAGCGATATTTTCAAACTTGGACAATAATGCTTCTCCGCTGTTTGCCAAGAAGCAGTCTTCTATTTCGTTTCGATTTTTAATTAAACCCGATAAAACGGAAAAAATTCTCGTTAGGTATTCGTTTTTCTTATCGTCATACGCGCTAAAGTCGTCTTCGCTGTGTTCTGCAAGTTTGTTCAGAATATCAGTAAGGAAATTTTTTTTGTAAAATTCCTGCTGTACTTCTGGATTGTTTGGAAGTATTAACGCTAAAAAGATGCAACAAGCGCGCTTAACTTCTTGGGTGTCGTTTTTGAAACAAGATATCAGATGATCTGTTAAACCGACTCTGCAAACATTTCTGGCTAGCTCAGGGCAAATGTCTAAGTAGTCTTGCAACGTGTTGAACGTGTCTATTTTTTCTTCATCAGTGCCGTTCACTATAACTTCTATGTGTTTAGGAATTTGTTTGTAAACATCGATGGTTTCGCTCATAAATTCATTCATAGCGTTTTGCAGGAACTCAAAGTCTTTTTTGCTGTAGGTAAACTTTTTCGACTCGGCCATATCGTTTTTTTTTGTGTGTTTGGTAGCCAGACCCAACAAACTGGTCAACTGAGTGAAGTCACACGTATCTTTAGACATCGCAATAGCAAAACAGCCGGAGTTTAAAGTCAAAATATATGTAAATAAATAAAAAAAAGCGAGAAAATTTTGCTTTTAGAAAAATTTTATCTAAGCTTTGTTCTAGTTAAAATGTATACTGACTCCAGTAATGTGGAATTTTGGGGAAAAAAAAACTTGATACATTAATTTTCAAAGGCATATTAGATGAAGCGTAGTTCGGGTTCATAAACAAGTGTTTTTTGCTGAGTATTGTTCTAAAAAGCGATCCAGATTGAAGTGTTTTAGCGTTGAAAGCAGTGACTCGTTCCAAATGCGAGTCGAAGAACCATTCTCTCCAGCAAAATACGTTGCAGTGTTCTTGCAAACATTCTAAGAGCAGTGGTGTAAATTCAAATACGTTGGGGAACAAATCCAAAATTTGGTTTAGGACCATCAAAAATTGCAAAAAAATCGGACTTTTTTGATTTGTTTTTTCTGAATGTACGCCATGTCTAGTGCGGAATTTGTGACCAAACCAGAGAAATTCACGTTCAATCAGCTCAAGCAGTCCGTTAATTGTTCGAAATCTAGAATCCATTATCACACAACACAGACTAGCTAACTGCGCAGTTCTATCCCACCCATCACTGCAATGCACTAAAATATTTTTGCCGTTTTGCAGCAAATTCGCCATTTTTACTGAAGCATTTAGAATCATAGACAAGTTTTTAAACCATTGGGACGATAATATCGTAGGCAGCAGCGAATCATGTAGGTTTTTAATTATGACAATGCCTGATTCGCTATGTTTTTCGTACTTTATAGAAGCAATGCAGCTATTCATAGCTTTAAATGCATTGTTCACTTTGTGAATATTGTTTATCGATGCGAAATCAATTTCGCAACCGAAGTAATTTATGATTGTGTCTTCGTACCCCGCGCCTTTGAATTTGCACGCAAAAGCGTTGGTAAACGGCCTAGCGTCAATGATATAGCAGGGAGAAGACTGGTTGGGATGTAATTTGTACTTTACCAGCTGTTCATCTTCAATACATCTGCGGTCGTTAAAACTCGCAAGCGGTTGGCTCGATCTCCATAAACTAGCATGTTTGGTTCGGTAAGACATTAAAGGCAATCGGCCGTTAGATCTAAAGTTTGCAATTTCAATGATTTCTTCGTTAGTCAGCTCAGCTCCTCCGAAAGACAAATAGTCAGGATACGTAGGACAAAGTTCAAACGATTTATTAATTTCCGAGAAGATAGGTCCGTCGAAATACTGAATAGATTTATAATACGTCGGAGCGTCAAACAAGACGTAAATCGACTCATCAGCATTCTTATTGTTATTTAAGCTGCTGTCAGACGTGCTGAAAACGTCAAAGCAAACTGATAATTTCTTCACAGCGTTAATCAATTCTATTTCTTTTTTGTATACGACATTGGAACGAAGAATAATATTGAACTCGCGAAAATGTTTGAGATCAATAACAAAACCATGCGGTTGCATTGAATCGGGTAGATTAAAAGAGTTCTCGTGGTTCTTGTCAAACAGTATTTCTACATGTATCTTGACCAAGTTTCCGTGAAATATTGAATACAGCCCAGTATCGATCATGTTCTCAATAAACTCTTTTTCACGTTCATCTTTATAGTCATGAAACCGAAAGATTATTCGAAAGTTTGTTGCGATAAAGTCGCAGTCTATAGAGTGGGTCTCGCCATCTTTTTTTTTGTCGCGTGGTGATCCAGCATTAGCACTGGTGTTATAATCGTTAGACTCTATAATTTTATTTTCTAGCGACGAGTCGTGTTTGTCGATCGAGAATTTGTTACGCGGCAGGATTGATTTAGTGGACATCTTGCAATCTCTAAACGTATGAATAACCTGCTCATTTTGAACAAAGTATAACCCGTACTCACTATTGTACTTAAAATCAAATAATAAATTGACTGGTAACTTTAAAAATTCATCGTGCTGACTTTTTGAAATTTTGTAATAAGTTTGCTCTTTGGCATCGGACCTCGGAACAGAGCGACCTCGGATAGATCTAATGATAATAAGTTGGCTGTTGGAGTTAGTTCCAGACAAATTGAAATCTTTAATTACTTTAGCAGCAGTTTGCGCTATGTTGATTGTGGGAGCTAGATATTTTTGGGTATCAACGTGGGAAACAGCCGTGGTGAGTTTCGAAAACCAGGAATCGACTTCTTTTGAAGCGTTGATTGGGCTGGACAATGTTGTCTTGCTGAGAAAAACTTTGGATGTTGCATTTTTTGACTCGTTTACTGCAAAGGGATTTCGGACTTTTGGTTTTTTCAAATCATTTCTTTTTTCCATAAAAGGTGAACTGAAAAAATCAAAAAAAAACTTTATAAAATTTTAATGAACCATTTTTTTAATAAACAAATAATGATAATCTAGAAATCTGATCAAATAACATAGAATGATTTTTTGTCGAAGTGTTCTCGATCAGTGCAAATTTTATTGAATAACCATTGAGACGCATTTGTTTATCCAGCGATCTATGAGATTAGTTCCATCTTTATGGTTGGTGATGCACACATTAGTATCATGTAAAAATGATGCTTCCGTCAAAGAGCCCGACCTTCCCATGGTGAAGCTTTCTTTGGAAGCCGGAAGCAAACCGTTTGGCGCTGAGATAGAAAACTATTTGGACGATTTCATTATAAAACTGTTGCAGAGACACGAGGTGCTACTAAACGCATCTAAAAATAAGTTTGACAAAGACCTTGGCGACGTTAAAAATAAAGTGGACCAACTCATAACTTTGCAGTTCAATAAGCTAACAACGAATGGACCTTCCCAGAATATGCATGGAACGACGGCTAAAAACGGTAAAAGTTTGAGAAAAACCAATAAAAATACAAATTTAAAAACAGGAAGATCGATGTCTGGCACTGAGGAGATCATGCTGAACGATGAAAAACTCATTTTTCTCACGGATAAGTTATCAAGCACAAAAGGCAGTCCACAGGCCCGCCAACTAGGCGGAGTTATTAATGGAATTACAAAAATGGTGAATCAGAAAGCGCCTGTCGCGTTTTTGGTGCAGGTGGAACCTGCTAAAATTGATAGAGCTAAACTGCTTAAGCAAATAAAAACAGTATTTTCTGAATTTGACAAATACTTAATCAAGTACGAAAAGTCTTTAGACAAGAATTTTGATACACTATTAGCTAGTTTTGAAAAGCATCTGTTAGACATATTGACTATTTTTGTGGAAGCGAAAATCAGTGAATTTAAAAAATCTGCTAACAGACACCAGATAGAGAGAAAACTTTTATCATCAGATAACGTTAAAACCCAAAGACATTTAAGTGAATACAGTTCTGACGACCTAATTGTGGCGATATCCCCCATACAAGACACGTCAGCTTCCATTGGATCATATCTAAACAAATGGGTAATGTTGATAATCCAAAATACAAGCAACCTATTTCAGACAAACTTGGTGATGTGCAATAACTTAATGGACATTATACTGGAGTACACGAGAAAAAAGTTAACAGAAGAGTTAATCAAAACAATGATTGATAGCGAGTAGTCTTTTTTATCATTTTACTTTAATTTTTTACAGTATTATTGCACCAAAAAAAAAACCTGCTGATAGTCCAATGTCTATTCAGTATCTAAGTCAAGATGTTGAGCTTGCAAAGTGGTATGTGTACACAATATTAGCCATTACTTTTTTTATTTTTTTGGCTTTATTTTGCATAACCATATTTTTCAGCAGCTTGTCCAAAGAAAGTTTCACTCTTAAAAATTCTACGTATGTGTGTATTCTGTTTGGAGCGTCTTATCACTCATTGAACAAGTCTAATGACTGGATATCACGGTTAATCACGTCTACGTATTTGCATTTAAATTTGTTTCACTTTGCATCAAATATGTTTTCGTTTCTTGCGTCAATTTACCAATTAAACTACCATTGTAACGAACCGGTGTTTTTTGTTTATTGCTACCCAATAATAATTTTAGGTTCGATATTTGGTTCCTTGCACAGCTATTTCTTAGATTTCAATCTTTCCTCGTTTGGGTTGGGCGCTTCCGGAGGTTCTATGGCTTTGAACTCTTACGTCATTGCCTTTTTGATTTTTTCGCAGTACAATAATTTCAATACGGAAATCACACCTACGTTTTTGTACAACATAATAAACACGATTGTGCAGTGCACGCCACTGGCATCCATCGGCTCAGACTTGAAAATTAACTATAAGTCTCACTTAAGTGGACTGATTACAGGTGTGATTTGCTATTTCATGGTAGAGTTCATTGTGAATCACTCGATTTTAAGTTTGTCCACTCATATCAAGATTCTAAACTATTTTACTATAATTAACTACATCGTTTTGATTGTTGCGTTTATGGATATTATAAGGCAATACAAAAAATCCAATAGTGACCGGCAATATGAAGTTCATGCACAGTTTTTGAAACTTAATACGATAAAGTTAAACAAAAAGTTTTATAAAAGCAAAGGCTGCAATGACAGAAATTCTATCGGCGAATATGAGTTGTTGAACGAACGCTACAATCATAACACAGAAAAGTTTTGGACAGACCATGCAAGATTGGTGACATACGACAAAATAGAAGACTACTGCTCGATAGCTGTGCCAGAAGAAGACCGCGTTAGCGACGTTCAGAGTATTTAACGATTAATTAGCTTATTAAATTGCGCTAATAATCCTCAACCTTCATGTCTGCAATTCCTAAAAAAATGTTTTGGTCTTCATTTCGCTCATAAAATTCCTTTGTAAGGTTCGCATCTTTTTTTGTTTTTTGTTCATTTGGCTTTCCGGGGTTGGAAAAGAATAAAAGTTCGTCTCCTATAGAACCAATGTGCGATAAATCTGCACAGTCGTCCAGTATGAGCGTGAAAGGCAAACTAGTCCCTTCTAAGTGCCCTTTCAACTGTTGCAAAACGAACAATAGAATTTGTTTGTTTTTTTCGTCTTTACTATCTCCTAAAATTAATTTAAACTTATCAATAATTTCATCGTGGATTCTGACTAAAAGCCCTTCGATGGTCGTAAAAACACCGCCAAGTGTTCCAGGTTCAAGATCGAGTTCCAGCGAGGGTAGGCTGATAGACGCGGAATCACTTTTTAAAATATCTCTTGATAAGTCTTCTATACATGTTACATTTAACGTCCACTTGGCACCTTTGTCGCCGTATTGTGCAGTGGGTTTTACTTCGTTAGACTTGTAACCACAGTGGTCACATAAAAACGACATAATCAGACATTTTCGGAACCCTGGTATGTCGATTTCCATCATTTTTACTTTTCCCGCTTTACCGCATTGACTGCAACTTTCGACAAAAACGAATAAATCATCGTAGTCAGGGAGATCAAACTCAGTAGTTACCTTATAGCTAGTTTTAGATTTTGGTCGTAAATAGTCAGGTAGCGAAGCACCTTGCTTATCCTCATTTTCGACTAAGCTCTTGTCTTTGGTGGCATATCCCATGCTTGCGTTCATTTCGTCTGTGCGTTCATACAGCTCAGTTTCAAGCACACTGGTACTTTCTTCGTTGAAATTCGGCTCTATCTGTGAATTTCCACTAGGATCGTCGATTTCTAGCACAAATGGCACGAATGTTTCTTTTGACAATAAGCCTCTGAGCCGACTGACGAAGTCGTCGATTTTTTTAGCGGTTTCGGGGTCAACTTCGCGTCTGGCCTCCTGATTTAGCATTAAATCTTCGCAGACACTGTTTATAAGTCCTTCTATGGTTGTTACTAAGCCGTTACGCTTTTTCACTGGGGCAGAGAACTCAAACGTGGGAATTGAAAAATTCGCAAAATCTGACAGAACTATTTGTCTGTAAATGTCTTTTATGCCGTTGACGTGGAATGTCTGTTTCACTCCTTTTTCTTGAATTTCCGAAAGTCCTTCAGTAGTGTTGTTTTTGTAAAAGCAGTGAGGACATTCAAAAGACGAGATCAGAAACGTACGGAAAAACGGAATTTCTATGGGTAATAGTTTGGTAGTTCCTTTTTTAAAACATTTCATGCAAAGTGACTCAATGATAGTTGTTTTACCTGCTTCTACAATCATTTTTTATACTGAAAAGTTGTAATAGGTCCTAACTAATTTAATAAATAATTCGAAAAATTTTCTTTTCTTATCGGAAAAGAAATTTCATCATCTTTAAACAAAAAATAAACTAATCATTATTTTGAAGAATTTCGTGAACAACAAAGTGAATATTTTGAACGGTGGTTTTCGTTAAGTTGTATTACCACGTAACTTGCACTTATTTCACGTATCTTTAAATGTTTCAAGAAAAGCTATGGCTAATATATGTGTTTTATAATCTGTTCAGAGATGTAACTTTATATAGGTATCATAGATTGGTGGCTTTTATTTTAGGCTTAAAGTTTTCTTTCAGAAACGTAAAACAAACAAATATAGAATTACTTTTGCCGATCCACGCGAATGAGCTTAAGTTCTACACTATTAAACTATTTGAACTTCAAATTCAGAAAGCGTGGGAAACGAAACAGAAAAAACATGACTCAATATTTACTTCATGGATAAAAAAAAAAATAGCTAGTTTGCTCGCTAATGTTTATAACAAACTGTATTTTTCCGGACAAAATACATTTTTTAAAACGATTCATTTCCTCGTGTTTACAAAATCCAAACAACTAATTTTCAAGTTGAGTTTTAATTCCATCCGCAACGCAAAGGTTATAGTAAATTTTTTCAATCTTAATCTTAAGTTCCGTGTTACGTTTAATCTCCTTGATCACGAGTTATCTTTTCGCAAACTAAATGTTGAAGCAAGATTGAAGTCCAGTGTATTCGATTACGTTTTGCAGGTTCTGAGCGAAGAAATTGAAGACTTTAAGAAAGAATTTCATTCGCAACTACTTTTGCAGTTTAAAAATTTAAACTGCAAATTTCTAATTAAGAGTACATCCGTTGAAATTAATGGTATTAAAGAACTAAAAGAATTCAATTTTAACATCCCAGTCTTCACTGTATATAGCAGTTTCGTAAATGCGAATGTTAACAATATTAATGTTGCTTATCAAAAAGAGTTAAAGGATAAGACTGTTATCAAACTTGATTTTAATAAAATTAGTATTGTTGAAACTATAGAGACATTGCCACTGTTAGTTTTGCAAAATGTCAGTTCTCATGTAGAGAACTGCGGCAAGTTTATTGTGATTCCTAAGTTGAACTGTGCAAAAGCCAGTATTAGTCTAGCAAGGTTAAGTAGCATGGTTCAGAATGCACAATCTTTTTGCTTAAATATTGACACAAAAAAAATTATAGAAAGCTGGAATCGGAAGGGTTTAAATTATGATAAAGCTCATAGCTTAGTTTTAAAGTTAGCAAACGTTCAGCTTGACGAATTCAACTTTGACAACTTTTTAGCTTTAAGAAGTCTGAGTGTTAAGTTCAGAGAGTCAACCATTTTAATAAGACTGATTTCTTTCGGCTTAGCGATTCCAGGATTAAAATTCGAGCTGCAAGATGTTGCTATTTTAAAATGTACGGGAAATGCAGAATTGCCTGATGTGGACCAGCAGGTCGAACTTATTGAAAAATTAAACGAATTTTGCCAGAACAACAACGTTCGAGATGTAGCCACATGCACAAAAGGTTACTCGCACAAAAGTTTTAAGTTTAGGGTTAATGCAAACGAACTGTTGTCAAATTTAACTGGAATGTTATCAAGCGTCAGTTATTTAACGCATGTGTTTTTGAATGAAAACCAAATACAAAACTTAATTGAGGTCGTAAAAAGCGTTCAACCACTGACAAAAGAGTTGTTTGGAACTGAAATTCTTATAACAAAAAAATGTGATATTCTTTTACCAGGGGGTATGGCTAATATCACGATAAAAGACGTCGAAACGGTTTTTTTAAATTCCTGTTTATTGTTGTTTTTGCCTCTTTTCTCGTTGGAAATCGATAACCGAAACCAAACCATCAATAAAAATTACACCTTCAAATACAATATTTCAAATCTTACGGTGAACAGCTTGAATTTTATCTACTTATCCAAAATTTACGGGGAAAGCATGGGTCTTCCTACCCATATATTATGGGTTAAATTGAATTCAGTGCTGATGTTTCCAATAATAAACAGCATAATTAAAATTACTTTGAGCGAAGCAACTTCGAAATTAGATTATGGAACGCTTAAAACGCTTATATCCAATCCAGCTTCGTCCGACCATTTAAACGAAATTCTGATTAATAAAATTTTAGAAACCTCAGCCTTGAAAATCCAAACTTTCTACTCAGAATACAGCTTGACATTCACGTTGGTATCAACAAATCTGATCGAGCTTGACGACCCGCGGAATCTAATACATCTCATTGAGGATTACCACGCTCCAAAGTTCCGCCGTCTGATCGCAGATGCTTCAGCTTTGTACAAAAAATTAAAGTTAGTAGAGAAAGCAGATAAGACCCAAGACACACTCCAAGTGCGTTTCAACATTGCTAAAAATGATAGCGTGGTAGTGAGCACTCGCAAAGACTTTAAGGTGTTCAACATAATGGTCGTTTCGAATTTATTTTTAAGCGTAAATACCCAACTTTCTACTGTGTCATTTGGGTCAGATATGAAAATTGTTCTGGACAAACTGGTGTTGAGTTTTGAAGAAATCTTTTTGTTTTACTCAGTTCAAAACAAAGAAAGCGTGGTGAACATAAACTTAATTGAAATTTCTAAGTTCCACGCAGATTACAGCAAACTGCCTGAAGGCGAATCGAGCAAGTTTTTTCGTCACTTTGTGAAACTCAGAAATTGTACTCCGTACAACGTTCTGCTTCCTCACGAGACGGGATGGCTAATAATGAAAGAGTCTGTTGTTGAAACCGTCAACATTTACGAAAAGAGGCTGTTTTTCAAGGATAAGAAAAACAAAAAAATAGAACTTTTAAAGTTAATCAATTTGAGTGGCAAGATAGAATATGTTGATGTCAGCAAAAAAATAAAAATTGATATTAAGTGTGTAAATACGCCCAGTTCAGAGATCGAGGTTGTGTTTACAGTTATGAGTGACATAAAAACACTATTTACAAATCAATACAAGCCTCGAACTAGAGTTGTTTTGATTTCACTCGACATAATCGAAAACGTTTCGATAAAAGGCAGTTTTTTGACGAAGTCTGTGTGTGAGTTAATCGTTAAGCATAACAGCTTTGACGAAACTAAAACAGAGCTGACGAACGAGAAAAATTTGTTTCTCATTCCGATGGTCAATTTAGAAGCGCTATCGTTCAATCACTTGACAATCAACATTGTTGACGTTCCGAATCAAGTAATTCCAATTGAACCTCTTTTCGTCAGTGCGAGAATAATGAACAGCTCATTGTTTTTTCAAACAAGTGACTACGTAATCGTTAAATCTGGCACGTCGTTACCGAAAAACTTCGTCTTTATTTGGAACAAAGAGACAATTGTTGAAAATAATTATGTCACATTTGAAGAATTAAGAAACTTTAGTTTGTTGGACAAGGAATCTAAACTGACATACCGTTGTTTTGACAGTTTAGTATTAAGTCTTGGCATGAAACTCTATAGACTGCATCTAACGTTAAATTCAAATGATAAGGACATGATTGGGCGAAAAACGATGAACTTGCTGCACAATGTCAGCATAAGGTGCGATCTTGACTGTGAAACTCAAATCCCGACGTTTCACATCGAAAAGATTATTGCTGGCAAATGCCAACTGGATTATCTTGATCGTGGCTGTAATGAAACAGTCGATAATAAACTTTGCTTGGTAAATAAAACCAAAGTTTATTTTTTTGTATCAATTAACAGAAAGACAATAGTGACTCTTACAAACTACATCCATATCGATGCAGTTTTGTTTGAAATGAAATTTTTTCAGCTTTTAGACGAAAATGGCCACGTGTTGTATTCAGCTCAATCAAATGAATTCCCTTCAGGATACTTCCACACGGATAATAAGCAATACTGTTTAAGGTTTTCCGCTAAGAAAAGTTTGCAAGTGATAATATCAGAACTTTTTTTTGAGCAGCCTTCTGAGCAGCTAAATATCAATTCTTTTCAACGGTTAGGTAGTACTGGTACCGACGCTGTAGATGAAACCGTGTACCTAAACAAACTAAAAAAATCAATTTCTGTATCTGAGAAAACTTTCGTTTTTTCTATTTCAATTGAAAATGTAAAACTGGATAATCTGGATATAATTCAGCAAGTTCAGTTGCGCTGTAAATTTTTCGACGTGTTATTCAAAGCTTTGACAGGCGTAAAACCAAACAAAAATTTAAACGACACAGAATTCGTTGACAAAAAACTTGTTAACAGCAAAGAACAGTCAGGTGCTTACGTCCTCTACAGAATTGCAAAATGCAGCTTTTTTGAAATTCAGTTCGATTGTGTCTTTCCTACAGACGAGGATATCGCCATAGCAAATTTTAACTGTAACGCTTTCGTGGATACGTCTGTTGGCAACTTTTTGTTGTTTAAGCTCTATAATATAGTGCTAACACCACCAAAGTCCATTAAAATACAGCTTATTCAATGTGTAAAAACATTATATAAGTTTAAGGACGCCTTTAAAAAAGAGCTAGATAAAGATATTATAGTTTTGATCCAAAATTGCGAGATATATTTTTCCGAGGCGAACTTTGAGTTGCATTTGAACCACAACTCGCTGTTCGTCATCCAATTGAAAATGAAAGATTTCACATTGCGTTCTGAATGTGAGATCGACGAGTTTATCAACGTTTTGGGAAAGCACTTAACCAGTAACTTTTTGACGCTGAATCTGTTTCGCCGCTCTGTGACGAAGTTTATTGCGGATCTTTTGAATAAACTAATACAGCAATAAATTAAAGTGCAAAATCGATAAATAAGGAAATTAATTATATTAGTAAATTAAGTTGTAAAGTGTCATTGAGGCTGAACGTTCTGTTGTTTGAATGATAGAGTATATTATTTGCGTAACGACAAAGGACCTGAGCAAAACTGAGATAGACAATATTAACAGTTTGGCGATCCACCACAAATATGTAGACTATATTCAAGAACTGAACGTTCCGAGAATAACAGAACGTGTAACGCTGGACCAACTCATCACTTTGGTCGGGTCACTAGAGTCTGATCTAGAACACAGTCGTTCGGCCTATTTTTACGTCGAACGCATAGCCAAAGAACACAACCTCGAGCTGCAGTTTTTAATAAAAAAAAACCATTGCAATTCAACGGTTGACGTGTTTCTCAGAAACTTTGAGTGGGACGGAGAATTGTACACCAACAATATGAAACTGACAGCGATGGTGCAATCGATGATACAATTAATGTCTCGCTACGAAA